CACTCTCAGCTCTGCTGGATGGCCTACCCTGGGGTTGAGGACTGTCAGTGGTACTAAAGAAGTGAGTCATTACTTGATAACTGCCTAGAGAGATACTGCAAAAGATAGGAATGGCATTATTTCTACAAGTGAACAAGTTTGTATGGAAGGAACACTTGTTTAGGTTCATCGTGGATGGGACAGTTCATCTCCAGTGCATTCGCAAATTCTGAGGATACATCACTGCACAAACTGGACTAGAGTTTATATGGTGCAGAAGATGGGGTTGGGGAGGCAGAAGGACAAGGGGGATGGGTGGAGAATGCTTAACTTGGTGTTCAAAATCGTGTCACTTATGAGCCATGTGACCTCAGAATATCTTTGAGCCTAAGTTCACTTACCTGTAAAATTCTGCTATGCTACTGTATAGAGTATCTGAGAAAATGAGGAATGCATTTGGTGTTCAGTAAGTATTTTTGTTTGATTTATTTATTTTACCCCCATACCTAGAGAACAATAGATGTTCAGTAAGTATTTGAATATGTTAGTTAATGCTTTAGCAGGATTTCCTAAAGGCAGAAATCCTTTGGAATTCTATTCCATAGAATTCTCGCTGAGTTCAGAGTGTTTCCATATGATAGTGTGCTTATGAAACTCCTTAATGGGGTCCCATTCAGCAGTTGCCATAGTTGCTGACATAGAAGGGGCATTTTTTAACCTTTCCTGAACTGTTGCTGTCATTGTTGAAACTTCCATATCCAGTCATACTCATCATAAACTCTAGAGCATGTTGTGAAATATCCATATGACCTCACCTTTAAAAATAGAAACTCTCTAGCTGTGTAACTACTAAATTCTGGGTAGACGCCAAAACAAGCAGCACTTTTCATATCTAACTGGAACTTAGATAATCCAGTTGTACTTCCTCAGCTCATTGTGAGTTTTGACAAGTTCTGCACTCATGAACCCAGATGTGATATAGTAGGGAATTTCAAAGGAAAAATCACATGTAGGCTCTGCCCTCTAGGATTTTACAGTCTTGAGACAAAGGCAAGAAAATACTCTTGCAACTTCTCCCAACATCACAACTTTGCAATTCTCATAAATTTTGCTTGCTCCTAGGGCATGACCAAGGCAGAGGCAGGGGGGTCCTACTTTGCGTGGGAGAGAGGAAAGGAAGGGTAGGTGGTTAGAGTGATAGGTTTGGAATATTGTAGAAAGTGTCAGAGTGAGGTGTCTGGAGCTTGTCGCACAGACAGTGAGAAGGGTGGGTTGTGAGTTTCTGAGCACCAGAAAACTGAGTAGTGTTCTGGAAGAGGCAAGGGCAGGCAGCTGTGCACAGGAGACCCTGGGGATCTGGGTGAGAACAGAAGGCTGCACGAGGGAGCCTCCCCGGGAGGGAGCGATAGATTGGCTGTGGGAGGTGGGTTCAAAAGGTGCCTGAGGTTTTCATTTGAAACTCTGTTGAAGAGGAATTGGCAAAAGAGGAGGAAATATAAATAGAGGAAAGATTGGTTTCCTCTTAAGCACTGCGGCTGTAGGCAGTTAGTGGGAAGTGCTGCTGGAGAGAAGCTGGAGCTCATTGAAGCTGAGAGAGGGGTTTGTAGGTATAATCAGAGCAGTGTTTATAGGGAGGTGCTGGTGAAAGGAGAGAGAGAGATGAGGTTAGAAACACAGAAGAGGGAGATGGAAAGGTGGAGGCCCCTGAGGTGGAGCAGCTGTAGAGGCAGGCCTGGGGGCCAGGAAGCTGGCTGTCCACTTTCAGCTGTTGGTGAGAAGAAGGGATGAAGGTCGAGCTTCTCCTATGGTGCAACTGTTGAGTGGTGCACAGGTACTCATGCTCCTGAACACGGCAGGGCTCGGGAAGGGTGTGATGCTAGACGGAGGACTTTCATTATGCAGCTGATTATCTTTTATTGAGAGTCTGTTTCTGGAGTTGGCTGCTCTGTTTTGAATTCTGGCTTTGCCACTGTGACTCTGGACAAGTTATTTAGCCTCAGTGCCTTCATTTCTGCATCTGTAAAAGGGATATAATAACACCTCTCTCATCAAACTGTTGTAGGATTAATTGAGTTAACATATGAGGAGCATTGAAGACAGTGCCTAAACCTCAGACACTGCCAGTGCTTTGTGAGTCCTTCTGGGCCCTGCTGGCTTAAGTTGCTTCTTTAGGCAGGATGACTTATTTTTGAGACAGGGTCTCGCTCTGTTGTCCAGGTTGGAGTGCGGTGGTGCGATCTTGGCTCATTGCAGCCTCAACCTCCTGGGTTCAAGTGATCCTCCCACTCAGCCTCTGCAGTAGCTGGGACTATGGGCACGTACCACTAGGCTAATTTTTGGCTATTGTTGTTTATGAGACAGGGTTTCACCATGTTGCCCAGGCTGGTCTCAAACTCCTGGGCTCAAGCAACCCACCTGCCTTGGCCTCCCAAAGTGCTAGGATTGATTATAGGTGTTAGCCATGATGCCTGGCCAGAATGACTCCCCCCCGCCCCCCACCAGGCTTCTCTGCTGTGTCTGTAGAGGAAGACTTTGAGAAGCAAACCTGAGTGTTGATTCAAACCCAGATTTAGGCTCAGTTATTATTATTTTAGGTCTTTGGAACCTCTTTGCTGAGGTCCCAAACAGGTAGAAGACATTAATAAGAACTCCTTATATTTGATTTCATGATGCTCTGTGGTTTACTGAGTACTTACCATATATGTATAGATATGCCCGTATTTGATCTTCACAGGAACCTGTGAGGTGGAGAGAGCTTATGAGCCTCATTTCCCAGGTACAAAAACGCCTACATGGTTAGGGAACCTGCTCCAGGTGTGATCCCAGGTGTGCTCCAGCTCAACAAGCACATTTATTGAGAGCCTCATGAGCTCTTGGGATCAGAACCCAGGACTCCTGATCCCACTCCATGCCACCTTCTCACCCACCCTCTTCCACCAAGTGGGTGGAAATAACACTTGCTTTGAAATAAAGAATAGTCTTTGTGAAAAGGAACCTAAACAGCAATGGGTCATCTTTATTTGCATTTATAGTACCAAGTGCTGAGTAAGGGGATTTTAGACTCCAGACACCCATCCGGTTTGGCAGACCAGAACTGCAATGTGTTGACCACATGTCCGTCTCCTTCACCCCTGTGCTTGTGGGTAACCAGCCAGAGTGCCCTGAGGCAGAGACCTGCTTGGCAGGTCCCTGGAGAGTTCTGCAAGGTCTGGGGAGGGGTTCTTTGTATTTAAAATTTCATGTAAACATCAGCAGTTTTCTCTACCTCTGTAGTTAGCTTTTGCCTTTTCAAACTTCAGTTAGATGGGTAATGACTTTTACTCATTAGGACTTTTTACCATTAGTTGGAAACCCAGAGTTGCAATATTTCTTCCTTAGAATCAACAGGTTTATGAGAATAATTATTGGATTCTCTTTATATAAAAATAGTGGTGGAGGCTTGCCACAGGTTTGGTATGTGGCTCTGTTGAAGGCTTATCACTTCCTCATTTATATAATTTCCTTCCTTTGTGGCCTAAACATGACTTTCAAAGAGTCAAGAGGAGTTAAGTCATGATTTTTATTTTAGAACATCTGAAAAATGAATTCATAGAAAAAATGATATTGATGCCTTGAATTTCCCCACTCTCCTGCTGACCTTTCTCATGTTTTAGGGCTTCAGGGACTGTTGTGGGATTTGTATTTTGTGGGGTTTTTTTTGTTTCTTTGTTCTTTGTTTTTTGGAGGATTTCTATTTTGATACTGAGGGACCAACACAGACTGACTTAGCTTCTAGCCTGTGAGTAGGTCATGTGCCACTGTCACTGGAGAATTTCATGTTGTGACTTCTGTTCAGATTTTTTTTAATGGCTTTTCTTCCCCTCCCCCGAGTTGGAGTCTTGCTCTGTCACCCAGGCTGGAGTGCAGTGGCACGATCTTAGCTCACTGCAACCCCTGCCTCCCGTGTTCAAGCAATTCTCCTGCCTCAGTCTCTCAAGTAGCTGGGATTACAGGCGCCCCCACCGCACCTAGCTAATTGTTGTATTTTTAGTAGGGACGAGGTTTCACCATATTGGCCAGGCTGGTCTCGAACTTCTGACGTTGTGATCCGCCTGCCTTGGCCTCCCAAAGTGCTGGGATTACAGGTGTGAGCCACCGCACTTAGCCTTCTTATGACTTTTCTGCCAGGGTTCTGCCAGGGTTCAGGGGAGCCATGGCTGCTTCACGATATCTTCTGTTTCCCTGTAGAACAGATGATTGCAAGCCCCGGGCCCTAGTGAGCTGGGCCCTCTGTGGCGTTCTAAGTTCATTCTGAGGCAAAGGATCGAGTGTGTTTTGGGCAGCAGCCTTCAGAGCAAGGCACTGACTTGATGATTCACCCTGACCCCTCCCCTCCACTGAATTTTCTGACAGCCTTGTGACTCTCACATGGGAAATATGAGTGGCTTTTGAGAAATCGTTACATAAGTGGTTTTAAAATTTTCTTTTGAGATTGCTTCAGTTGTTTTCCTTAAAGTTAGCGCATTGTTTGCTTTTTGCTTCAATCTCAAGGACAGGAGGTTCATTCTTGCTCTATACATTGGGGTGTTGATGTTTGTGGTTTTGTTCTTCATGTAACTCATGACATATTGATATTAATTAACCTAAATACATATGGAAATATTCATTACTTAGAGCTTATATAGTTCCTGGTACAGATGTGCAAAAATAGTGCCTTAATCATTGCCAATTCACGGTCTCGCTTTTCTTTATACTGTGATTCTGAGTGTTTTGTGCATGGAACTATAGCTTCTTATTATCAGCAAATAAGCAGGAAATAGAAATTATGTAAATAAGCAACTTCCATTACTTCACTGACTTGACAAATAGGCATTTGGTCAATTTAAAGAATATTTTTCAAAATATGAAGTGCCTGTTGCCGTTACTTCATTTTGCAGGTAACATTGGAAGGTTCTGTAATTGTACTTGAGTGGGCACACTTTGCTGTTGAAATGTACCATCGACACCCTGGTGACACTGAAGTTTGTGTTGACTTTCTTTAGGTGTTTTCACAGTCCTGTGTTTGGTATGGAGAGTGTGGAATGGCATATGGGGACAAGAGGTACAATTGCGAATATTCTGGCCCACCAAAACCACTGCCAAAGGATGGATATGACTTAGTGCAGGTAAGTTCATTATCTTAAGCATTGGAAGCACAAAATGCTGATCACAAGATCCTCTGTAATTATACTATAAATGTTATTGCAGAGTGGAGGTAGAGGTGAGACTAATAGGCTTAAGTCTTATCCCAAACTCTAAAACTCTAACCTGCAGCACACAGTGGCAGTGAAGGTAACACTGTAACTCCAAAGGCTTAATTTTTCAGGGGCTGACTTTATACCTCTCATAAAGTTTCCCAATAGCAGGTTATTATATAGAGACTGATCTTGGTACTTCATATATTGCCCTTGTAGTGTCTGCAAAATACATTAGAAGTTAGCTCGTTTTGATTCCTAGATCTCAGGACTGGAATGGACTGTGTTGCTAAGTGGCTTTAACATCCTTGTCCCCTGTTCATTTTAGTGTTTCCTCTGTGTTCCACTGAGAGCCTGTGAATTTTGGCTGCTACCAAGATTCTGACTTCTGTTCTTTTTTAGCATCCTGTGATGCACAGAGATATTAGTACTGGAAAAAAACGTGGTAAAAGGCTGGTTTTCGAGTCTTAAAGTAATCAAAAATCAAGTTGACATGATGATAGAGCTCCTAGGCTTACTTGTTTCTTTTCTGTTTCTGAGACAGCCTTGCTCTTTTGCCCTGGCTGGAGGCCAGAGTGCAGTGGCGTAATCACAGCTTACTGTAGCCTCGACCTCCTGAGCTCAAGCAATCTCTCACCTCAGCGTCCCGAGTAGCTGGGACCACAGGCATGTGCCATGACCCCGGCTAATTTTTTTTAAATGTTTTGTGGAGACGGGGTTTTACTTCCATGTTGCCTAGGCTGATCTTGAACTCCTAGGCTCAGGCATTCCTCCCTCCTCAGCCTTCCTAAGTGCTGGGATTACAGGCATGAGCCATAGCACCTGTTCTCACTTGTTTCTTTTCTTTTTTTTTTTTTTTTTAGATGGAGTCTTACTCTGTTGCCAGGCTGGAGTGCAGGGGCATGATCTTGGCTCACTGCAACCTCCCCATCCTGGGTTCAAGTGATTCTCCTGCCTCAGCCTCCTGAGTAGCTGGGATTACAGGCACTGGCCACAACGCCCAGCTAATTTTTTGGATTTTAGTAAAGATGAGGTTTCATCATGTTGGCCAGGATGGTCTCCATCTCCTGACCTCGTGATCTGCCCACCTCAGCCTCTCAAAGTGAGGGGATTACAGGTGTGAGCCACTGCACCCAGCCCCTCACTTGCTTCTTTCATTGTAATTATTAAAGGTTTCAACTTTCCCTAGAATGACTAATAGAAATGGTAAGTAGCACTCGGGCTGAACTTAAACAAAAAACCCTAAGAAGACATAAAATTGTTGTCAGGAAAGGAGAGAAAGCTTCCATATAAAAAGAAAATTAGAAACATCTCTACTACCTCTACTCATGAATAAGTAGTAAATGTGTCACTTTAAAATAATTCTATAAGAATGTTTTAAACACAATATGTGTTTTACCCCTGTGTACTTCAAAAGGATTACATGAATGAATATGTTAGTTCACTGAGGAATGTTGACCTTATTTTAACTACTGCCTACTCCTGTATCTGTGCCCTTTTACCTGAAAGGAACTCTGTCCAGGATTCTTCTTTGACAATGTCAGTCTCTGTTGTGATGTTCAGCAGCTTCAGACACTGAAAGACAGCCTGCAGCTGCCTCTACAGTTTCTGTCCAGGTAGGTTCTGCTGGGGAAACAGAACTGGGCTGTAGGTACTTGTGAACCGGTAATGTCAGCTTTCCATTTATTCTTTGTTTACATATTTTTATTTATATATTATATGTGTATATATTGATGTAGATATTTCATATTAATGTATTTATATTATATATTTATACATATATGTATATATTTAAAATGGGTGAATATATATTTAAATATGTATTTATATATTAAAAATACATATACATCTATGTATAATGTGTGCATGTGTGCAAGTGTATATAATAGAGACAGAGTCTTACTGTACTGCCCTGGCTGGAGTTGCAGTGGTGTGTGTGTGTGGTATGATCATAGCTCACTGCAGCTTAAGCCTCCTAGGCTCCAGTGATTATTCTACCTTAGCCTCCTGAGCAGCTAGGACTGTAGGCATGTCCAACTAATTTTATTTATTTTTCTTTGTCAATTTTTTTTTTTTTTGAGACAGAGTCTTGCTCAGTCACCCAGGCTAGAGTGCAGTGGTGTGATCTCAGCTCACTGCAACTTCCTCTTGGGTTCAAGCGATTCTCCTGCCTCAGCCTCCTGAGTAGCTGGGATTACAAACATACGCCACCATGCCCAGCTAAGTTTTATATTTTTAGTAGAGGCGGGGTTTCACTATGTTAGCCAGATTTGTCTCGAATCCCTGACCTCAAGTGATCTGCCTACCTTGGCCTCCCAAAGTGCTGGGATTACAGGCATAAGCCACTGCACCCAGCCTAATTTTTACTCTTTTTCTAGAGATGGGGTCTCTCTATGTTGGCCAGGCCAGTCTTGAACTCCTGACCTCAAATTATCCTCCCACCTTAGACTCTCAGAGTGCCGGGATTATAGGTGCGAACCACAGTGCCCAGCCATTTTTTTTTTTTTTTTTTTTTTTTTTTCCGGTCAGTTTGTTTTATTTTTTTGAGATAGAGTCTCACTCTGTCACCCAGGTTGAGTGCAATGGCACAATCTTGGTTCAGTGCAACTTCCACTTCCCAGGTTCAAGCAGTTCTCTGCCTCTGCCTTCCAAAGTGCTGGGATTACAGGCATGAGCCACTGCACCCAGCCTAATTTGTATTCTTTTTCTAGAAATGGGGGTCTCCTGTGTTGACCAGGCCAATCTTGAACTCCTGGCCTCAAATGATCCTTCCACCTTAGCCTCCCAGAGTGCTGGGATTATAGGTATGAACCACCGTGCCCAGCCAATTTTTTTAAGTCAGTTTTTGTTTTATTTTAAGAACATACTCTTAAAATTTGTCAGAAATAAAGAGAAAAACAGTAATTATCAGACTTAGTTCACTTCCCAGTTGCGTTCAGAGTTGATGCTTGGTTTCCTCTGAGATGTCTGCACTGTGGCCAGGCTCCTTTCAGACTTGAGCTGTGCACTGTTTGGAAGAGAGGTTCCTAGTGGTCCTGCTCAGGTGCCTGGCCTTAGACTCTTATCATGCAGTCCTTCTTCTCCCCCCATCCCCTGCTTTGCATATCATTCTTGTCTCTCCCTCTGGTGAAGGGATGTGCTAGAGTCAGGTCCTCAGTAGAGCTGGCTTTGGGGAACTGTTAACAAGCTTGTTCTGGTGTAGCTGGCTGGTTTTATCAGACTTAGTTTTCTGTCTGATCTGTTGGCTGTGACAAAGAGTTCACTGTGAGCAGTGAAAAAGAGCTTGGTAGTAGATGTTCTCTAGGCCTACCCAGCAATTCTCAAATATGTAAAAGAACAAGATGGTGATGGTCTTTAAAACAGCAGATTGTGATATCTTTCTAAATTTTTCAGACTAAAGCACTCTGGTAAAGATGTTTGGGAAGCAAATATTTAAAAGGGAAAATGCTGCTCTGTGCAAGTATCACTGCAGGTGGTGATAGGGTACAAGTTGGCCAGTGAAGAAATTCTGCTTCTTAACAGAAGTTGACAATAGAGAATAGAAAACCACCACTAAATTGTTTTTTCAGGACAACCAAAGTTGAGACTCTAATTGGGCCAGCACATCCTATGAAAGGCTTGTGGACGTTGATAGAGCCAAATTGGAGCCTTGTAAACTCAGTCAAAACACATTTATTTAGTATCCACCGTAGGTGGACATAAACATAAAAAGATAGCCAACCATTCTCCATGTTATCAGAGACACCAAAGCTTGATTTATAAAAGTAAATAGGACAACCAACCAGATATTTGGAAAAATATGCAGCTGTCAAAATAGTGACTGTGGGCATTAAATGTAGTAACATGGAAAAAGTTTGAAAACTGTGCATCCCAAGAGTGATTCCTATTAGAATAATGTAATTGTAGTTTCTGGCTTTGTTGCAGTAAAGCACTGGGGCTCCTGAAAGAAAGAGAGTCTGTGCTTCTCTGTCTCCTTCACTGGAACAGAGGCTGTTGAAGGCTGGGACACACTTTTTTCATTCTTTGTTTTACTTGGTCACTGGGACTGGATCAGAGTATAAAGAAATCTTGATTGGTTTTGTTGCAAGAATGCAAGTCTAATGAAACAATAGCTTTTGCAAGTAACAGTGGACCAAAGGGAAAAGAGAGTTCTTTTGCTATGTAACAAGTCAACATTAGGAGCTTAAACTTTGAACCTGAAGGATAGCAGGCAGCTTATGGTTCTTGTGAAATTTGTATGCTCCTGAAGTGCATGCAACCAGAAAAGACCTTTGCTGTTCTCTGTCTTTACAAAACACGGGGATTTCTTCGTGTGTTTCAGGAGGGTCTGGGGATTTTCTAGGGTTTGGAAGAAAACCTTTCAATCGGTTATAAGATGAAGATTCTCATGATAATGCTCATCATTTTATTTTATTTTCTTCTTAATCAAAACTGTCAACTGGTGCAGTGGCTCATGTCCAGCACTTTGGAGACCAAGGCAGGAGGGTTGCTTGAGTTTAGGAGTTTGAGACCATCCTGTCTCTACAAAAAAAATTTTTTAATTAGCCAGCTGTGGTGGTTTGTGCCAGTAGTCCTAGCTACTTGGGAGGCTGAGGTGGGAGGATTACTTGAGCCTGGGAGTTCAAGATTGCAGTGAGCTGTGATCATGCCACTGTACTCAGCCTGGGTGAAAAAGTGAGACCCTGTCTCAAAAATAGTAATAATAATAATTGTCTCCATGATACTCCAAAGTCCCTTTACTCTAGGTCAGAGAATATATGTCTCTAAATTATAAAGTACAGAATTCAGAGAAGCATCTTTCTCTTTTTGAAATTATAATCGGACATAAGAAATACAGTAAGTAATTAGGGCACTTTTAAAAAGTGTGCCTTTATTTTAACATGAGGTTTTAAGTTTAGAATTGCTGATTTTTAATATGTTCTCTTAGTAATTTGTCACCTTACAATAAGTTTAAAATATTCTTTGTCTATTTTAAATTGTTTAGCTGGCCCTATTATGTGTGAAATCATGCAGAATCTAATTTACTTTTCCTTCAGATGTCCATCCTGTTTTTATAACCTACTGAACCTGTTTTGTGAGCTGACATGTAGCCCTCGACAGAGTCAGTTTTTGAATGTTACAGCAACTGAAGATTATGTTGATCCTGTTACAAACCAGACGAAAACAAATGTAAAAGAGTTACAGTACTATGTTGGACAGAGTTTTGCCAACGGTAAGTAAACTTTCAATTATTCCTCTTTTAAAGCTGGCATCAGGACAGCAGAGCAAATTGTTCCTTTTAGTTGTCCTGTCAACTCTGAAAGATCACAGTTTTCAGTTCCATTGGCCAGGAAATAGGAGTTATTGCTTTGCTTATATCCTGGGACTTGAACTACAACCAATATAACAATCTCCTTAAAGCTTTTGCTTTAACTCCCCCTAACTTTAACTGTCCACATGGAAAATTTTAGTATGTGCAAGTTTGCATCCATACACTTCAGTAACCATTGGATCTTTGATTCTAGCAGACATGAGTTGCGTAATGTCATAAATTACTGCAAGACTGAGGAAATAGAACTATTAATAGTTGCCAGAGAAGAGATCATGACTGAAGAATCAGATCACCATAAAGGAAAGTCAGCAGGTCTAACAAATAGCAGAAATGACCCCCCAGCATTGACCAACATACAACATTTAATTATAATGACAAAGTTAAAAAGGTAACAAAAAATTCAATAGAAAAAAGGTCTCATTCACAAAGCAACAGAACATAAGGCACTTAGGAATCCAAAAGATGTGACACAGAAAGCAACCTGACTGGAGAAAGATCATTTTGTCCAGAAACAGAAGCCTGCATATATGGAAAGTGGATGTGTAACACATGTGTCATAACAAATCATTGAGAGAAAAGGTGGGCTGGTTGATAAATGGGATGAAAAAATAGATTATCTAATTTTAATTTTTACATATAATAAAAAATAAATTGAAGATGGCCGACCACTAACAGCTCAGGATTGTAGCTCCCAGTGAAAGCTCAGAGAACGAGACGACGCCACATCTTTAGACGAATTTTCGTCACTCACCGATTAGCCGATTCCCAGTGGAGGAGCCCCACGGGTCGCCAGCGCGACTCTTGTGGCTGCCGCAGTGGTTTTGCCGGTGTCTCGGCGCAGCAGCTCTTCATGCAGAGCCAACGGGACTGCTTCCCCTACTGACCGGTGTTTGGAGCTCCGGGAAGTCAGAGCCACTTGTTGCGGACTCAAGAGGGAAGCCAGACCAGAGATTCCCGGGCAGAAGAGCACCATCAGTCTTATCGCTGCTATTTAGGCCGCCACAGTGGGTTGCTCGGAACCCAGCACTGGGAATCAATAAGTCGGACATCGACTCAGAAACCTAATTAGAAAGGTGGTTCATCTACAATAAAGGGAAAAAAACAGCCTAAGAAGGCCGAGTATACTCAAAATCAGAACCCATCAGCAACGGAACAAGCCCTGATGGAAAAGGACTCATAAGCAACCGAACAAGCCCTGATGGAAAAAAACTCATCAGTAACGGAACAAGCCCTGATGGAAAAGGACTGTGTTCCATTATCTGAAGTAGGCTTTAAAAGGTGGATGATAAGAAACTTCTGGGAGTTAAAGGAACTTGTTCTAACCCAATGTAAAGAAACTAAGAACTTGGAAAAAAGGTTAGATGAAATGTTGAAAAGAATAGACAATATAGAGAGGAATACAAATGAACTTATGGAGTTGAAAAATACAACACGAGAACTTAGTGAAATATGTACAAGCTTAAACAGCCGAATGGATCAAGCAGAAGAAAGGGTATCAGAGGTCGAAGACCAACTTAATGAAACAAAATGACAAGACAAGAATAGAGAAAAAAGGATAAAACGGAATGAGCAAAGTCTCCAAGCAATATGGGACTATGTGAAAAGACCTAATATACGCTTGATTGGTGTACCTGAATGTGACGGAGAGAATGAATTCAAGCTGGAAAATACTCTCCAGGACATTATCCAGGAAAATTTTCCTAATTTAGCAAAGCAGGACACTATTCAACCCCAGGCAATACAGAGAACACCACAAAGACATTCCTCAAGAAGACCAACCCCAAGGCACATAATCGTTAGATTCACCAAGATCGAATCGAAGGAGAAAATATTAAGGGCAGCCAGAGAGAAAGATCAAGTTACCCATAAAGGTAAGCCTATTAGGCTTACAGCAGATCTCTCAATGGAAACCCTACAAGCTAGAAGAGAGTGGGGGCCAATATTCAATATACTTAATCAACAGAACTTTCAGCCCAGAATTTCATATCCTGCCAATTTAAGCTTTACATTTCAAGGAAAAATAAAATCTTTTAGGAACGAGCAAGTACTCAGAGATTTTATTACCACCAGGTCTGCTTTACAAGAACTTCTAAAAGAAGCATTATACACAGAAAGGAACAACCAGTATGACCCTTTCTAAAAATACACCAAAAAGTAAAGAGCATTAACATAAAGAAGAATTTTTATCAACGAAAGGACAAAATAGCCAGTTAATATCAAATGGCAGCAACCCTAAATTTAAATCAACCAAATCTCCCAATCAAAAGATACAGACAGAATCTAATGGTATATCCAAAGATATACATAGACTCAAAATAAAGGGTTGGAAAAAAAAAAACTTACCAACCAAATGGAGAGCAAAAATAAATAAATAAAAAGCAGGAGTTGCAATATTCATATTTGACAAAATAGATTTCAAAGCTACAAGGATACAAGGGTAAAAGGATTAATGTAATAGTAAGAGATCTTAACACCCAGATACATAAGACCCATAATGAGATTTAGATTCAACGAGACAGAAAATTGATAACGATATCCGGGACTGAAACTAAGACCCAGAACAAATAAACTCAATAGAGCTCTCCATTTTAAACACACAAAATACACATTATCCACAAAATCTAACGCTATATCTAAAGATATACAAAGACTCAAAACAAGGGGATGGAAAAAAACTCACCAACCAAATGGAGAGCAAAAATAAATAAATAAAAAGCAGGAGTTGCAATTCTCACACTTAATAAAATAGATTTCCAAGCTACAAGGATGCAAGGGTAAAAGGATTAATGTAACAATAAGAGATCTTAACACCCAGATACATAAGACACATAGTGAGATTTAGATTCAACGAGACAACAAATTGATAACGATATCCAGGACTTGAACTCAGAGCCAGAACAAATAAACACAATAGAGGTCTCCATTTTAAACATAAAATATGCATTAACCACTTTAAACACTCAAAATATTGATCGGCCATTATTGAAACCCATTTTAGGAATGAAGTAATATTCCTTTTTCCCTCTTTTTCTTTTTTCCCCCTTCTTTTTCTCTTTTTCAAAAAATAAATAAATAAATAAATAAATAAATTGTGTAGATTAAAAATCCCAATTGGAAATTTTTTAAAGTAAATATAGAATATCTTTATGCCTTTAAGATAAAGGAAAGATTTCTAGACAGGAAAGGAAAAGCAGAAACCATAAGGGAAATATTTATGAATATAAACAACTATCTAGAGCAGTCAGCAAAATGCAGATTGAAACAGTATACTACCATGTTATACCTCATCAGCTTGGCACAAATTAAAAAGTTGGTCAATTCCAACTATTGGTGAAAATGTGAAGAATAGGGATACTAATACACTCTACCACTTGTGACCATAATTTGGTGCAGTTGTTTGAAAACCAAACAGTTTTGCAATACGTAGTAAAGTTGAAGATAACCTTCCTCTCAGATATTTCACTTATAGATGCCTGCCCTAGAGAAACTATAAATGCATATAAACCGGGAGACCCATATAAGACCCATGTAATAACATCCACTGTAACATTATTGGATTATGAAAAACTGAAGACCTCAAAAGGATGAGAAGACATGACAGATTGGGAGCAAGTGTTTGCCAAAGACATATCTTAGTAAGCACTGTTACTCAAAATATAAATATACAAATAACTCTTAAAATTCAAAAATGAGAGAGCAAACAGCCCATTTGAAAAATGGACAAAACAACCTGAACAGAAACCTCACCAAAGAAGGCATACAGGTGATAAATAAGTACATGAAAAGTGACACTCAACATTATGTCATTAGAGAATTATAAATTAAAACAATGAGTACCACTACACATCTTAACGGTGGCCAAAATTCAAAACCCCTGCAACACCAAATGCTGGCAATGAACTCTCATTCATTGATGGTGGGAGTACAGCCACCTTGAAAGATAGTTTAGCGGTTTCTTACAAAACTAATCATACTTCTTGGTATTCGCCCAAATGAGTTAAAAATGTGTCTACGCCAAAACCTGCACATGGATATTTATAGCAGCTTTGTTCATAGATGCCAACATTTGGAAGCCACCAAGATTTCCCTCAGGTGAATGGGTAAACCGCTATATCCATACAATGAATATTATTCAGTGCAAAAAAGTGCTATCCAGCCGTGAAAATGCATGGACGAACCTTAAATCTTATTACTAAGGAAAGCCAATCTGAAAAGACTACTTACTATATGATTCCAGTATATGACAATATAGAAAAGGCAAAACTGTGGAGATAATAAAAAGCTAGTGGTTGCTATGTGTTAGGGAGGAAGGCATGAGCAGAGCACAGAAGATTTTTAGGTGGTAAAAATACTCTGTATGATACTATAATGTGTGACATTTTAAAACAAAAGTGCTACATACTTACAAAACATACAAGTACAGAAAAATGCATGGGAAGGATTCAAATTCAGGATTGCGTTTACCTTAGGGAAGGGACTGACTGCTGGCAGGGAGGGCTCATTGGGGAGCTTCAACTGAATGTATAGATTGTGTGTGTGTTTAAGTCTTCATTTTTTGGAAGAGATGGGTGTCACTATGTGGGTGAGGCTGGTCTTGAACTCCTGGCCTTAAGTGATCCTCCCGCCTTGGTCTTCCTAACTGTTGGGATTCTAGGTGTGAGCCACCACACCTGGCCTATAGTGCATTATTATTTTTATTGATTTATTTATTTTTATTATGCCATAGCCAATTGTTTTGAATCATGCATTATTATGAAATAGAGTCAAGGTTTTGTTTTGTCACCCAGGCTGGAGTATAGTGATGCATTCATAGCTCACTGTAGCCTCAACCTCCTAGGTCAGGCATTCCTCCTGCCTCAGCCTCCTGAATAGTTGGAACCACAGGCATATGCTACCACATATGGCTAATTAAAAAAAAATTTTTTTTTTTGTAGAGATAGCCTCTTGCTTTGTTGTCTAGGCTGGTCTCAAACTCCTGGATTCAAGTGATCCTCCCACCTCAGCCTCCCAAAGTGCTGGAATGACAGGTGTGAGTCACTGCACCTGGCCGAGTCCATTATTTTTTAATGTTGAGGCAAGTGTAAAATGGTAAGACTGATAATTAACTGGGTAATGAGGAAATGAGAATTGTATTATTCTCCATATTTTTTGTATGCTTGAAATATCTAATAAAACCTGAAAATTAAATGGTAAGCTGGAAGATATTAAGGAATTACCCAGAAAACAGCTTAGAGATATAAAGATCTATAAATCATTAAAGAAATGACATATAGGATAACATGAGAAATTCCAAAGAATTGGGGAGAGACAATAATAATCAAAGGGATAGTAAGTATTTTCCATAATGGATAAGGGATGAATCCTCAGACTTAGAGAAAATTCGTTATACTAAATCATTTGTATTCCTATACACTTTCAATGGGCAATCTCAAAGTGAAAACAGGAAAATAATTCCATGTACTATAATATGGGAAATACTTAGGAGTAACTATTACAGAAGTATAAAACACTTTAAAACTAAAGAACATTATTCAGAGATTAATGAGGATCTAAATAAATGGAAAGACATTCCATGTTTATGGATTGGAAGACTTAATATTGTTTAGATGCCAGTATTCTCCAAGTTGTTTTATAGATTTAGGGCAATCTCTGTTATAATCCCAAATGACTTCTTTGTAGAAATTGACAAGCTGATTCTGAAATTCACATGGAAATTTGAGGGACTGGTAGTAAAACAACCCTGAAAAAAAGAACAAAGTAGGAAGACTCACACTTCTTAGTCAAAATTAAGCAATGGAAATCAAGACAGTGTGGTACTGAAATAAAGAAATAAAGATAGACATATAGACCAATCACATCTAACTGAGAATAAATAATATATCTGTGGTCAACTGATTTTTGACAAGGGTGCCAGGGCCATTCAATGAGAAAAGAATAGTCTTTATCAAATGGTGCTGCAATAACTGGATATACACATGCAAAAAAAAAGAAATTGGACCCTACCTCACACCATATATTAAGGAAATTAACTCAAATGGATCAAACACCTAAATGTAAGAGCTAAAACTATAAAACAGAATAAAACATAGGGATTAAATTTGCATGGCCTCATATTTGGCACTTGATTCTTAAATATGAAACCAAAAACATGAGCAACAACAAAAAAAGATTAATTGGGCTTCATTAAAATAAAAAAGTTTGTATTTCAGAGGACACCATCAAGAAAAGACAAGAAGGCTGTGCCCAGTGACTCATACCTGTTATCACAGCAGTTTGGGAGGCTGAGGCAGGAGGCTTGCTTGAGCCCAGGAATTCAACACCGGCCTGGATGACAAAGTGAGACCCTGTGTCCACACGCGCACACACACACACACACACACACACACACACACACACATTATCCAGGCATGGGCCGGGCGTGGTTGCTCACGCCTGTAATTCTAACACTTTGGGAGGCCAAGGCGGGTGGATCACTTGAGGTCAGGAGTTGAAGACCAGCCTGACCAACATGGAGAAACCCCGTCTCTACTAAAAATACAATTAGCCAGGAGTGGTGGCGTGTGCCTGTAATTCCAGCTATTCGGGAGGCTAAGGCAGGAGAATGGCTTGAATCTGAGAGGCAGAAGTTGCAGTAAGCCAGGATCCCTCCATTGCACTCCAGCCTGGGGCGACAAGAGCAAAACTCCATCTCAAAAAAAAAAAAAATTTACCTAAAATCCAATAAAAAATTAAAAAAAAAAAAAAATTTATCCAGGAATGGTGGCATGTACCTGTGGTCCCAGCTTCATAGGCATCTGAGGCAGGAGGATTGCTTGAACCCAGGGAGACAGCACTGAGCAAACTGCACTCCAACCTGGGTGACTAGAGTGAGACCCTATCTCAAAAGGAAAAGAAAATATTTGCAAATTGTGTATTTAATAAGGGACTTGTATCTAGACTACATAAAGAACTCTTGGCTGGGCACAGTGGTTCATGCCTGTAATCCCAGCACTTTGGGAGGCTGAGGCAGGCAGATCATCTGAGGTCAGGAGTTCGAGAACAGCCTGGCCAAAATAGTGAAACCTTGTCTCTACTAAAATACAAAAATTAGCCAGGCATGATGGTGGGTGCCTGTAATCCCAGCTACTCAGGAGGCTGAGGCAGGACAATTGCTTGAACCTGGGAGATGGAGGTTGCAGTGAGCTGAGATTGTGCCACTGCACTCCAGCCTGGGCAACAGAGCTAGACTCTGTCTCCGAAAAAAAAACAAAAAGAAATCTTACTACTCAATGATAGATAAATAACCCAATTTAAAATGGCAAAAGATCTGAATAGAGTAGACTTGTTTCTCCAAGGAAGATATTCAAATAGCCAACAAGCACATGAGAGATGTTCAACATTATGAGTCATCAGGGAAATACAAATCAAAACCACAGTGAGATACCACTTGACACCCACCAGGATGGCTAGAATCAAAGTCGGATAACAAGAAGTGTTGGCAAGGCTGTGAAGAAATAGGAACCTTTATTATAAAGAAATCCCAAAAACAAAAACATTGGCTGGGCACAGTGGCTCACACCTGTAATCCCAGCACTTCGGGAGGCCAAGGCAGGTGGATCACCTTAGCTCAGGAGTTTGAGAGCAGCCTGGGCAACATGGTGCTCTCAAATCTTTGCAAAAAAATTAGCTGGGTATGGTGGTGCATATCTGTAGTCCCAGCAACTTGAGAGGGTGAGATGGGAGGATCACTTGAGCCTGAGAAGCAGAGGTTGCAGTGAGCCAAGATCATGCCACTGCACTCCAGTCTGGGTGATGGAATGAGATCCTATCTCAAAAAGAAAAAGCATTGCTGGTGGTGATGTAAAGTGGTATAACCACTCTGGAAAACTCTGGCAGTTCCTGAAACAAACATAGAACTACCATATGACCCATCAATTCCACCCACAAGACGAATGAAAACATAGGCTGACACAAACACTTATATACAAATGCTTATAGCAGCATTACTGATAATAGCCAAAATGTGGAAACAACTCATCTGATACATGGATAAACAAAACGTATATCTGTACAGTGAAATGTTTGGCCACAAAAAGGAAGTATTGATACATGCCACAATAGGCATGAACCTTGACAACATTATGCTAAATGAAAGAAGCTGGTCATGAGATACTGCATATTATATGATTGGATTTATGTGAAATGTCTGAAATAGTTAAATAGAGATAGATCAGTGGTTGCTTAGGGAGATGGGGAGGTAGGCGAGCATAGCTAGAGTACAAGATTTAATTGGAGGTGATGAAAATGTACTAAAATTGACTGGTGATGGTTGCATATACCTATGAATATGCTAACCTCTATTAAATTATGTAGTTTAAGGGGGTAAATTGTACAGTATGTGAATTATACCTCAATGAAGCTGTTTTTTAAAAAGCCAAACATCTATACCTCAGTATAGATTGGAAAAACTAAAACTGGCCAGACACAGGCCTTAGGCCTGTAATCCCAGCACTTTGGGAGGTTGAGACAGGCAGATCACCTGAGGTCAGGAGTTCGAGACCTGCCTGGCCAACATGGTAAAACTCCATTACTATTGAAAATACAAAAATTAGGTGGTTGTGGTGGTGCACACCTGTAATCCCAGCTACTCAGGAGGCTGAGGTGGGAAAATCTCTTGAACCTGGAGGCGGAGGTTGCAGTGAGCCAAGATAGAGCCACTGTACTCCAGCCTGGGCAACAGAGTGAGACCCCATCTCAAAAAAGAAGAAAAAATAAAAACTATAAAACTCCCAAGACAAATATATTTTTCTTTTTAAAACTAGTTTGTCTTTTTTTTTTGATAGGGTCTTAGTCGCCCAGGCTGGAGTGCAGTGGTGCGATCTTGGCTCACTTCAACCTCTGCCTCCCAGGCTCAAGCAATTCTCATATCTCAGCCTCCTATGTAGTTTGGACTGCAGGCATGTGCCACCATACCTAGCTAATTTTTTTTTTTTTTGTAGAGATGGGGTTTGGCCATGTTGCCCAGACTGGTTTGGACTTCCTAAGCTCAAGCAGTCCACCCACCAGAGCCTCCCAAAGTACTGGGATTATAGTCGTGAGTGACTGCCCCCAGCCCAAAGACAAATATCTTAAAAGCAAATAGAGACAAGTCACAAATCTCCTTAAGACAATGATAAAGGGAGATTTTTTTTTTTTTACCAGCCATGATAGAGCCCAGAAGGCAATGGAATAATCAGTTGAGAATTCTGAGGGAGATGACTGTCACTCCACCTAACCTGTCTTTCCAGAATGAGGGTAAAACAAAATGAATGAGTAAGCATCTTCTTAAAGATTATGGAAAGAAGATCCTGGGAAGTTTCTAGCAAGCAAGGACTGGTAAATGAGAATTGACAGTACAGGACCCATTCCAGCTATTTTCTTAGGTGTAAAACACCGATGCTATCCTTATGTAGTATGTTGTCTTTATGCGTAATAAAATAAAACCCAAGAAGATAACCCTAAAACCAGTTTTCCAAGTAAGTTCCATAATTCTCTGTGTAGCTTCCTTTGGCAGAGGTTTTCTAGAACCAGCTTTGTTAACTGAAGAAGTACTAAGGCTCTTAGCTTCATCTTCCTGGGCCCTTAGTATGCTCTTCTGTACAGTGGGGATATGACTTCACGCTGTTGTGAGAACTGTGTGATAATATGTGCTTTTCCCTTTCCTGTCTGTTTTTTACTTTTAAGTTACTCATAATTGGGCCTCCATATTATTTTCAGGGTGATAAGCCAATGTAAAGGGAATCTCTGTTCCTGCTCTAAGTGTTTGCTGTCCAGCATTCCAGCATGGTGCATATGGAGTTCGTGTTTCCATTCAGGAGGCCTTGTGAATTACAGCAAGCATCTTGTTTCTTTTTTCCTTTGGGATTCCTCTTCTAGCAATGTACAATGCCTGCCGGGACGTGGAGGCCCCCTCAAGTAATGACAAGGCCCTGGGACTTCTGTGCGGGAAGGATGTTGATGCCTGTAATGCCACCAACTGGATTGAATACATGTTCAATAAGGACAATGGACAGGCACCTTTTACTATCACTCCCGTGTTTTCAGGTAGGGATAAAGATTTTAAATTTGGTGTGTTTATAATACTGTTTTAAAGCCAAGGAACTGGCTGGGTGCAGTGGCTCACCAGTGCTTGGGGAGGCTGAGGCAAGAAATTGCTTAAGGCCAGGAGTTCCAGACCAGCCTGGGCAATGTAGTGAGGCCCCATCTCTGCAAAATAATTAAACATTAGCCAGGTGTGGTGGCATACACCTGTAGTCCCAGCTATTTGGGAGGCTGAGGCAGGAGGATTGCTTGGGTCCAGGAGTACAAGGCTGCAATGAGTTATGATCATGCCTTTTTACTCTAGCCTTGGTGAGGGCAATGCCCTATCTCTCCATGAATAAATGAATGAATCTCAGTTGAGGAATCATAATCTATAATAGGAAGATGAACACATTCAGGTAACTAGGTTTTAGAGTTTCTCCCAGTAAGAGAGGTAACTGGTACATTTACCCTGTTCTGGCTAAGTTAGGGGGTGCTGGAAGTGGGAATGGAGGAGGAAATGAATTGCCTTCAGGCATTACTGTTGTAATTGAAAGAATAAGCAGTTAAAATCGGGGAGGGGGGCAGCTTTTCTAGAGCTCGCTATAGTGTCAGCTCAGCTCCACAGAATGGAGATTGGACATGATTGAAGGGTTACCTTGGTATGTGGTATACTTGGATGATTGCTGTATCAGGGACAAACCGTTATGTACAAGTTTATTGAGGTAACTTAAAATTCCACAGGGCAAAGCAGCAAAACATAATTTGATTGAACTAAAACCTCCAATTCTTTTTCTTTTTTCAGTTGTTGTATCTATTTCAGTGGGCTTTTCTTTGGGTTTTTAAATATAATAGAAAATTTTTGATGTTTTTGAGATTTGTACTCAACACAGTTTTTTCCTGTAGATTTTCCAGTCCATGGGATGGAGCCCATGAATAATGCCACCAAAGGCTGTGACGAGTCTGTGGATGAGGCTACAGCGCCATGTAGCTGCCAGGACTGCTCTATTGTCTGTGGCCCCAAGCCTCAGCCCCCACCCCCTCCCGCTCCCTGGATGATCCTTGGCTTGGACGCCATGTATGTCATCATGTGGATCACCTACATGGCATTTTTACTTATGTTTTTTGGAGCATTTTTTGCAGTGTGGTGCTACAGGTAAGCAGTTTTGTTTGTCATCCAGGGCAAGAAAAGCAAAATTGCCCACTGGCACTTTGAGCTTTCACTTGGCAGACCTTGGTTACTTAAAACAGGCATCAAATACCTGCATGAATACCATTACATGGCTTATTGTGTCCTATAGCTATTATATTAAACTGTCAAAGTCCTGTTTAACACTTAAACATTTGAAGTGAATTTTACCAGTTTATTCAAAATGATGTGTGATTTAAAAGCACTGTGCATTAGCCATTCATTCTTTTTTTGTTGTTTTTTTTGAGACAGAATTTCGCTCTTGTTGCCCAGGCTGGAGTGCAATGGTGCGATCTCAGCTCACTGCAACCTCTGCCTCCCAAGTTCAAGTGATTCTCGTACCTCAGCCTCCCCATTAGCTGGGATTACAGGCACTCACCACCATGCCTGGCTAATTTTTGTATTTTTGGTGGAGACAGGGTTTCACCATATTGGTCAGGCTGGTCGTGAACTCCTGACCTCAGGTAATCTGCCCATCTCAGCCTCCCAGCACTTTGGGAGGTCGAGGTGGGTGGATCACAAGGTCAAGAGTTCAAGATCATCTTGGCCAACATAGTGAAACCCCATCTCTACTAAAATACAAAAAATTAGCCTGGTGTAGTTGTGGACGACTATAATCCCAGCTACCTGGGAGGCAAAGGTTGCATCTCTGCCTCAAAAAAAAAAAAAAAAAAAAAAAAAAGTCAGAGTCAAATGAGCCCAATCTGATTAAAATCTAATTAAATGCATTACTATAGTCCTTTCAGACATTTGCATCTTAATTTAGGACAGTGCTTTTTTTGCTTTTTATTTTGGAAATTATTTTAGACTTAACCAAAAAGTTGCAAAAATGATAGAATTTATGTATATCCTTTACTCATTTTCCCTTGATGATGGAACTTACATAACTCACAGTACAATGATCAAAACCATGAATATGCCATTGGTATATTATTAGCTAAACCACAGATCTTAATCAGATTTCACCAGCTTTTCCTCTAATGCCCTTTCCTGTTTCAGGGTTCTTGTATTACATTTTTGTGTTTTATGAGTCCCCTCCAATCTGTGACAGATAGTTCCTCAGTTTTCCTTTTCTGGCTGTGATACTCTTGATGATACTGGTCAGGTCTTTTGTAGCGTGTTCTTCCATTTGGCATTATGTGGTGTTTTCTCATGATAAGATTGAAGTGCTGTGTTTCTGACAAGTACATCACAGAAGTCATGTCCTGTCTTTCTCAGTGCATCATGGCAGGGATCCCTGATGTTGATGTATCTCTTTCCTGGAGATGTTAACCTTGATCACTTGCTTAAGGTGATGTCTGCTGGATTTCTACATTGTGAAGTTACTGCTTTTCCTTTTGTAATTGATAAATATCTTGGAGGAAGATGCTTTGAGACTATGCTAATGTTTTATTCTTCCTCAAACTGTCACCCTCTGATTTTAGCATTCATTGTTGGGTCTTGTCTGCAACAGTTACAGCTCAGGTGTTTGCCTAATAGTGATTTTTCTGTTTTCCTCTGCATTTACTAGCTGGACTTCTATACAGAAAGCTATCCATTGTCCCTCACTTATTTATTTGCTCAGTTATTTACATCATGGACTTTTAATTCTGTGCGTTGTATCCAACACTGTCATTTATCTTGTTACTCAAAGTTTTCCAGTTTGGGCCATTGGGAGTGCCTCCTGGCTGGCTCCTGTTTTTTTGGGGACAGAGTTTCGCTGTTGTTGCCCAGGCTGGAGTTCAATAGCATGATCTCTGTAACCTCCACCTCCCAGGTTCAAGCAATTCTCATGCCTCAGCCTCCCAAGTAGCTGGGATTACAGGCATGTGCCACCATGCCCTGCTACTTTTGTATTTTAGTAGAGACAGGGTTTCTCCATGTTGGTCAGGCTGGCTTTGAACTTGACCTCAGGTTATCTGCCTGCCTCAGCCTCCCAAGTGGTGGGATTACAGGCATGAGCCACCATGCCTGGCCTCCTGTATTCTTTTGACATATGCCTCTCATCCCCAGCTTTATCTTATATTTTCCCTGTCGCTGCCCTGCAAGGAGCCCTGGTTCCTTTTATTGGAGAGTGGTGTATAGAAACAAAGATCTGAGTGCTCATTGCTACTGGGGAGAATATCGTGTTTTTAAAGACCCTAAAAGTTTTAAATAAAACAGGGACCACAAGGTGAAATTATCCTTTATTAATTGTTCTTTTAATATATTCTTAAGTTTTCTCCTGAGACTGGTGAGCAGAGGGACCCAATGCAAGGGAACTTAGGGGAAAGAAGGCAGTAATTAGGGAGGAGGAGGCCAGGAGGAGTAAGAAAGCATTTCATGGGATTACAGGAATATCCCCTAAACAACCTCATTGTGATGAAGTCCACTAATACTATTTTCTTCCTTCTATTTTTCAGAAAGCGGTATTTTGTCTCCGAGTACACTCCCATCGATAGCAATATAGCTTTTTCTGTTAACGCGAGTGACAAAGGTAGGCATATTTGTCCATGAATGAAAGTGTTCAGATGATGCAGTCTATCATGAGAGCATTCGCTTCCTCAGCAGGGTTGAGGTAGTGGGTGAGGTGGTGTGCCAGTGCCTAGGATACAGCTGCGATCAAGGCAGACATGGTTCTTGCCTTTGTGGCCCTACCATCTAGGCAGGGTGGCACAGCAGAACCAAGGAATTAATCATAGCTGGGGAGGCGCAAAGGCAGCAGGCCAAGAACAGGAGTAGCAGGGCAGGGTTGAACCTCACTCTTCAGAGGCTCATGTGCCGGCGTCTCCTCTGTGATGTGGGACCACCTCTCATTGAGGGCAGCCAACAAGGGTGGCTTTGCCGAGCAGATAGATAGCTGAAGGCAGGGGTCTCGTGTGTGTCCCAAGGTGGGCTTGAAACCTGCCACGAGATAGCAGCTAATGCTTTCCCTATTCCGACTTTCAGGAACGACTTGGCTCTTAACCTCCACCCTACCTTCCTCCCCCACTCTTCCAGGAGAGGTGTCCTGCTGCGACCCGGTCAGTGCAGCATTTGAGGGCTGCTTGAGGCAGCTGTTTACACGCTGGGGGTCTTTCTGCGTCCGAAACCCTGGCTGCGTCATTTTCTTCTCACTGGTCTTCATTGCTGTGTGTTCTTCAGGCCTGGTGTTTGTCCGGGTCACAACCAATCCAGTTGACCTCTGGTCAGCCCCTAGCAGCCAGGCACGCCTGGAAAAAGAGTATTTTGACCAGCACTTTGGGCCTTTCTTCCGGACAGAGCAGCTCATCATCCAGGCCCCCCTCACCGACAAACACACTTATCAGCCGTACCCTTCGGGAGCCGATGTGCCCTTTGGACCTCCACTTGACATACAGATATTGCACCAGGTAATGTGCTGTTTGAAGAGGTAAGTCACTCCAGAGGACCTTCTGGTTTGCTGGCTTTTACATGTTGGCTAGTGCTGGATGGGGATTTGGGGCTGAATATCATGGTATATCTTGAAAATCTTAGGGTATAATGACAAAAGTTCTTTTAATTTAGGTTTCAAAAAAGTGAATGATGTTGAACTTAATGAAAAGTTTACTATTGCTCACTTTTGTATTTACTTCAGATAGTAGATCTTGCCTTTTTCTTGAAATTGAGATGAGCAGAGAAAGAAGACTTCAGTAGCATTTCTCTATTGAGGCAGAATGTATTTATGAGGAAGTCAGCTTAGGAATTTGTGAATGTTTTCTGTTGGTAACTGAAAGTAATGTGCAAGGACCTAGAGACATGAAGCCTTACTGCTGTCCTGGGGGCTGAGGAAGAAGCTGCCAGATCACCATTCGTGATCCATTCTGTAGTAATGAACTTACCACTGCTTGAACGTGGGCACCGAGCCTGTTTTTGGTGAGAGGTGCATTTGGGGAGAGATCCATCCCCTTGTTCCTAGAAAGGTGTGTAAATCTTCCCATTGTCCCTGTCACACTTGCCTTGGAAGACTGTACCTGTGCATAAACTATACTCACTTCTTTTTTAATGAATGCAGTCACATGGTTTTTTCCTTTAAACATTGCTCATGTCTACAAGAAAGTCTGAAATCTTGGAAAGCATTAAAATGGTCCCAAGACTTGAATAGAATCTTTTCTCTCCCCAGTGACTATCTGTTACTTTTTCTAGCTTGTTGCTGAAAGTGAACAGCATAGTCCTTTACCTCCAAGATCATCTTCTCTGTTAGGAAATAGAGGACATATGTAAATGGCTGTAGTGCAGAGCAAGGCAGGAGGTTTTGTATTATTATTGACTAGAGGGTCAGGGAGACCAGGAGTCCCACTACAGTCTCCCCTCTGGCTTGGTGGCCACTGCTGGAGAAGGGTGGAGGGGAGACGGTTGTGTGTCCTATGCTGACATCTGTTCTGGTCATGGTGTTCCCTCCTACCTCTGCGGACGCCTCTAACCAGTTTGCTGTAAGAGTGAGCCTGTGGCCTGACCAGTTTTCTTACCATATTGCACTTTAATTCTCTCCCTCATCTTAGGAAGTATTTTCCCCAAATACTCTTTGTCTTCTGACCCTTCAGGGCAATACTGGTTAGTCAAGATCTGAGAGAAACGTGATGTGTTTCTGGGTTTGCTTATTTTTAAAATCTTCTTTCAGGTTCTTGACTTACAAATAGCCATCGAAAACATTACTGCCTCTTATAACAATGAGACTGTGACACTTCAAGACATCTGCTTGGCCCCTCTCTCACCATATAACACGAACTGCACCATTATGAGTGTGTTAAATTACTTCCAGAACAGCCACTCCGTGCTGGACCACAAGATAGGGGATGACTTCTTTGTGTACGCTGATTACCATACACACTTTCTGTACTGCGTACGGTAAGTGGCAAGAGACAGTCATTGGTAGATAGCATTTGTGGTGTCCGGCTTAGGGTATATGGGCTTAAGCTTATTTTATGAGCATAACCCAGAGGTGAGCAAACAGAGCAAGATGTTGCCCTGTGAAGCTTACATCTCTTTTTTTGGCATGAGTCATCATGTCTGGCCAACTCTATTCCTCCTCCTCCTACTCCCCTTCCTTCCTTCCTTTCTTCCTTCCTTCTTTCTTCTTTTCTTCCTTTCTTCTTTCTTCTTCTTCCTCCTCCCTACTTTCTTCTTTCTTCCTTCCTTTTTCTTTTTTCTACTTCCTTCTTCTTTTTTCTTCTTTCTTCTCCTCCTCCTTTCTTCTTCTTCTTCCTTCCTCTCTTCTTTCTTTTCTTCCTCTTCCTCTCCTCCTCTTCTTCCTCTTCCTCTTCTTCCTCCTCCTCTTCTTCCTTTCTCTCTTCTTCCTTTCTTCTTTCTTCTTTCTTCTTCTTCTTTCTTCTTACAGAGTCCCACTCTATTGCCCAGGCTGGCGTGCAGTGGCCTAATCTTGGCTCATTGCAATCTCCATCTCCCGGGTTCAAGTGATTCTCCTACCTCAGCCTCCTGAGTAGCTAGGACTACAGGCATGCACCACCATGCCCAGCTAATTTTTGTATTTTTATTAGAGATGGGGTTTCACCATGTTGGCCAGGCTGGGATTTGAACTCCTGACCTCAAGTGATCCGCCCACCTTGGCCTTCCAAAGTGCTGGGATTACAGGTGTGAGCTGCTGCGCATGGCCAGAAGCTTACATCTTAATGGAGAAAGATGGATGATGAACACGTAAGCACATGCTATCATGCCAGTTAGAGATTAGTGCTGTGAGGAGACAAATAAGGCCGGACGGCGTAGCGGGGCACACTGCTTAAGTGTGGAGATGTGCACAAAGGGAGAGGAAAGGAGGACAGCTGTCCCATCACAGGGATGAGTGTTCCCGGCAGAACGAGCATCATCGAGTGCAAAGCCCCAGCAGGGAGCTCTTGTGGGGTGTGACTGGGGAGTGCAGCTGCCTCTCACCCTTTACCTCCTGCCTGGGTCACTGACACAGTTTCATGTATCCCACCCCTGACACGATTTAAAGATAGAAGCATTTGGTGCCTTTTCTTGTCTCTCAAATATATAGCCCAGTCCCCTGTAGTGTCCCAGCTATTTGAGGGGCAGCCTCCCTGTGAGGGCAGGGTAAGCCCACAGTTTTAGATCAGAGAGCCCTGTATCTCCTTCCCTTAGGAGGCTTATTAGCTGGGCAGGGTGTGTTTATAATTGGGAACAGTCACCCCAGGAAGCTGTGCTTGTGACCTGTAGGGGAATCTTTAGGCTTCTCTTGGAAGGGGAAGAGCAGCATGATGCCGGATGGGCCTGCTCTCCCTGAATGCTCTAGACAGCTGTTCAGTCAGTTGAGCAACCACAGGGGCTATTTCTTCAGCGTGGGAACAGAGAAGTTATTCCTTGTCGCCTTTGAGGGCACTGATCAGCTAACTACATCTCAGGAGCTGAGGACATTCACTTCTGGTTCTAAAGAACTTTGACCTTGAGTTCTGTTTGTTACTGGAATAAGACTTTTTAAGGAGTTACTCTGTTTCAAGAATGTCACCACTAAAAACATGAGTTATACTCATGAAAAAACAATTAGCTTATGCTCCATACCCTAACCCAGCATTCTCCACAGGGTAGATGGTGCAAGCGAGCCATGGGTAATTTGAAGAAAAAAAAACACATTGAATGTTACATAATTTTTATAGTTGGATGAAGAAAGCATTTACTCTGTTGTGTGAGATAAAAGTCTACAAAAATGAGGGGCGGAGGTGCGTGAGCCTTGTGTTTCCTCATTGCGGGCATGGTTCCCACCAGTGTGGAGGCTGGTGTGAGGGACTGGCAGGCTCCTGGCAGGAACCTGACTTGTTTCTTATTATGCTTGTGCGTGTCCTCATAACCCCAGGCCTGCCTCTAGTGCTGTTTCCTTTCCTCTTCCTCTAGCTTTTCCTGGACTTTTTCACCTGAGGGTCCTGCAGTAATGGCAGGTGGTCTGCCTGGAACCATGCCCTGACCTGCTCTGTCCCCATGTCATTTGAAGGCAGTAACAGCTACCAGTTACTCAGATTTAAGGCTTTATCCCTGAATTTTGCCTTGCCCTCGCCTTCCTCATGGGGTTTTTACAGGTCTGAGCCTCTGGATGGTCCCTCACATCCCTGCTGTGGATGAAGGGACTCGGCTGCTCACTGCAGGTCACCTGACCTCCCTCACACCATCAACCATCCCCTCTGATGAGGGGGTCATATGCAGAAGCTTTTCAGCACCCAGAGCAGTTCTAGCTGATGGTCTGTCTGAAACTGCTGGTTCCCTCTCCACGGGCCGTCTGTCTGTCTGCACTGCACTGCCAGTCGCCTCTTGCCTGGCCCGTTGCACAAACCTCTCTACTTACTGTTCTGCCTGCTTCCTGTTTCTTTGCCATTTCCAGACCTTCTTCCACTTTGCCACGAGAGCTAGCTTTGTAAAACAGCTCATGACATCCCTTTCCCAGAAAGCTCTCATTGTTCCCCAGTGCCTCCAGGATAAAAAATCCAAACTACTTAACTGGCACTGAGTCCTTTTATTTCACAGTCTGTCTGTTGCTCTTCCCAGACTGGCCCCCTTCTTTAGAAGCCCCCTCAGTGGCACCCCATGCCCTAGGAGAGGACTTCTTTTATTTAAATTATGTTTGTTAAGAGATAGAGTCTTGCTATGTTGCCCAGGCTGGACTCAAACTCCTGGGTTATAGCCATCCTTCTGCCTCAGCCTCCTGTGTAGCTGGGATTAGGCATGCCACCATACCTGGCATACAGGACTTGCCAAACCACCATCTTGCTCTCATTCCCTTTCACTGTTCTCTCTCCCTCCTTTTTTCCTCCTGCAGTTGTAATTGTGTGAGACACCTTCTTGTCCTCTCTCTTTGGTGAAATCCCCCTCATCCTCGGAGCGCTGGGTCTGTACGGTCTCTTCCTCTTGGCTATAGTCTCACCTTTTACTGTTTGCTCCCTCCTCTGTGCCCACATAGCAGCATGCACCGTGTACCATTGATGACACTGGGCAGTATTTGCCTGTCTCTTGCCCAGTAATTCTGAGCTACCAAAGGCGAGTACTGGAGCTGTATTATTCAAGTGAGAAACCTCAGGGCCCATGTTGTACTTAGAATACAGCCGGCCTCATCAAATGTTTGTATTGTAAATGTTTAGGTCTCTGTGATATCTTGAGGCCTTTCTAACGGGGAGGTGTTTTCTAAACTTGGCAGGGCTCCGGCCTCTCTGAATGATACAAGTTTGCTCCATGATCCTTGTCTGGGTACATTTGGTGGACCAGTGTTCCCCTGGCTTGTGTTGGGAGGCTATGATGGTGAGTAAGAGAAACCTTAACTTTTTCTATTGGGTAAAGTCATCTCGGTTTTGTCATTAGCTGTAATTATGAAGATTTCATAAATTGAGCAGTTTTGTTAGTTAATTTCCTACCTCTTGAATTCCAAATATAGTACCTCATTTGGCTTTGGGTTTGGGTTTCATTTTGGATTTAAAAGAAGTGGATTATATTAGCCATTTGTAGATCACACATGCCTTTGAGAAGCTGTTGAAGGGTAAGTACCTTTCCCCAGAATAATGCAATTGCTAACTTCAGCTTCAAGGAGGTCATGGGCCCTTGAAGCTCATTTATAGACCCCTGAGGGAGTTCATGGACCTCAGGTAAGAATCCCTGTGAAGGAGAAAAGTTAAAATGTGAGGTATGTGGAAAAAGAAACAAAGTTGATGGATTTTTTTTTTTTCTTCTAAGCCAGTCTCAGTTAGTTATTTGGATGGACACTCTTACAGTATGAAGAACAGCTAGTTTGCTCTTTTCTGGTTCCTGAAGCACTTTAGAACCAATTGTACTTGATAAAATGAGGTGATGGCATCAATAGCTAGACTGTCAATGGAAAAAAAAAAAAATGAGGTGATGATTCATGTGACACCTTTGGCATCTTAAGCCAAATTACAGGCTCAACAGGTTTTTCCCAGCCAATGAAGAACCCAAATAGGTTTTCTTCTCCTCACTCAGTGGTAGGGGAGAAGTTGCAATCTGTATTTAAAATTTACTGTGCATCCTAGAGGAAAATACCATTTCTAATTGGTGGAAAAGGGATGGTGTCAGCAACTGGCTAGCCACAGGGGAAACAGTTGACTTTGATCTCTACCTTGTTCCCAAAGTGCTGGGATCACAGGTGAGCCAGTAGCCAGTAAATTTTTTTTTTTTTAGACAGAGTGCAATGGTGCCATCTTGGCTCACTACAGCCTCTGCCCCGGGGTTGGAACAATTCTCCTGCCTCAGCCTCCCTAGTAGCTGGGATTACAGGTATATGCCACCACACCACACCCAGCTAATTTTATATTTTTAGTAGAGACAGGGTTTTGCCATGTTGTTGAGGCTTGTCTTGAACTCCTGACCTCAGATGCTCCACCCACCTCCGCCTCCCAGGGTGCTGGGATTACAGGCGTGAGCCACCACACCCGGCCATAAATATTTTGACTAAAGTAATGAAAAGTTTAGCCGGACATTGTGGCACACACCTGTGGTTCCAGCTACTTGGGAGGCTGAGGCAGAGAGTTGCTTGAGCCTGGGAAGTCAAGACTTCAGTGAACCATGATAGTGCCACTGCACTCCAGCCAGGGCAATGGAGTGAGACCTTGTCTCTAAAAAAGGCGGGCGGGGGGAGGGAATGAAAAATAGTTCAGCTTATTTGGAAGGCAGTTTGGGAGAATTTATCAAAGTTAGAAATGTATGCAGTTTTTGATTAGTGATTACACTTAAAGAGTTGATTCTAGCCAGGTGCAGTGGCTCATGTCTGTAATCCCAGCAAGCTTTGGGAAGTCAAGGCAGGAGGATCGCTTGAGCCCAGTAGTTCAAGTCCAGCCTGGGCAACATGACAAAATCCCATCTCTACATAAAATGCAAAAATTAGCCAGCAATGGTGGTGCATGCCTGTAGTCCCAGCTACTCGAAGGCTGAGGCAGGAGGTCAAGGCTGCAATGAGCTGTGATCACACCACTGCACTTCAGCCTGGGCAACAGAACAAGACACTGTCCCCTGTCTCCCTCTCACCCCCAAAAAAGAAAAAAGAATTGAAGAATTGATTCTACAAGTATGTGTTTTATACATTAAAATATTTATAAGCTATTTTTAATAACTTTATAATAGAAAAAAATGCAAAACTGCTCATCAATGGGAGGGATTGGTCAAAGTGTACTAGAAAATATTCGTAGGAAAAGAATAAGGAAACTCTTCACGGAGCAGTCTCCAAGATACAAAATTTTAAAATGTAATGTGCAGAATAGTATTTTACTATTTGTGTGGTTAAGAGGGAAAGGGGAAGAATCTATGTGTTTGATTGTGTATGTGTGTGGAATGGCTCTGGAAAGACCTGCAGATGGTCACAGTAGGGGGAGGAGAACTAAGACAATGACATATAGGTTGGAGGAGGAGAAGAGAGAATTTTCAGTCAACACCTTTCTGTTCTGTTTGAAATTGTTAACATGCCTGTACTGTATCCTTTAAAAAAAAAAAAAAAAAAGAAATTACTCTTCCTGAATAGAAACCATGCCTACTTCAGATAAAGAATGCTTTTTATTCATTAACTGAACTACATAAAAACTATTTCAGCAAACTCTTGTTTAATTCTTAAAGCACAGAGATACAGTCCATAGCTCCAGTGAGAAATCAGTCAGCTACATGTGTTGTGATTTTTCCTCTGGGATGTGCCTAATTTTCTGCATGCTTGTAATCTGCTTTTTGATGTCACATTTTTTTTTCCTAGATCAAAACTACAATAACGCCACTGCCCTTGTGATTACCTTCCCTGTGAGTAACTACTATAATGATACAGAGAAGCTCCAGAGGGCCCAGGCCTGGGAAAAAGAGTGAGTCATGCATGGGTGTGAGCAGACTGTCCTTGCATTGTGGGAACCTAGATGCTTACAGCAGGCACTTAAGCTTTATTTTCTAAATTAACAAGTGGCAGATCTGAGTTACGTAATTTTGTTCACTTGGTACTAATGATGCTAAGAAGAAACTGTAAACACATTTACTTTTGAGCAGATGCTTTAAACCGCTCTCCCTGCACGGGAATGCAAAAGTGTGCCAAAAAAGGGTTCACTCTTGCCTCGGCTGGGGTGCAGTGGCTCAGTCTCAGCTCAGTGCAGCCTCAACCTCCTAGGCTCAAGTGAACCTCCCACCTTGCAGCCTCCCAAGTAGCTGAGAGTACAGGTGCATGCCATCCCAACCAGCTAATTTTTGTTTTCTTTTTGTAGAAATGGTTTTGCCATGTTGCCCAGGCTGGTCTTGACCTCCTGACCTCAGGTGATCCACCCGCCTTGGCCTCCCAAAATGCTAGGATTACAGGCGTGAGCCACTGCACCCAGCTGCCTTCGTTGTTTTCTAACAGCAAAACTCAAGAGCATGCTGAATTTACTTAGTAATGAATACAGTAGAATATTATGCAGTCATAAAAGACAGTGATGTAAATAAATGGTTCAAGATGTGTATTTATATAAATATGTATTGTTTATGCTGTCCATGCTTAGAAATAAAAGCAAATGACCTGAGAAATTAACTGTGTTTGTGACTTCTATAGAATGGGAAGAGAGGACTTAGGAGGCCAAGTTGTGCTTTATACCCTTCAGTACTTTTTAAAAATGGTTTTACTAATGTATGACACATGTATCATACAGTTCACCCACTTAAAGTATGTTCAGCCTGGGCATGGTGGCTCACACTTGTAATCTCCGCACTTTGGGAGGCCCAGATGGGAGGATCACTTGAGGCTGGGAGTTCAAGACCAGCCTAGGCAATGTAGCAAGGCATGTCTCTAAAAAAAAGAAGAGAAAAAGAAAACTTGAAAAAAAAATGTACAATTCAATAGCTTTAGTATATTTGCATATATGTGCAGCCATCACCACAGTCAATTTTAGGAATATTTTCATTAATCCACAATAGTACACTTTAACTAACACCCTCCATCTTTTCATCCTCCTTTCCACAGCCCTAGGCATCCACTATTATAGTTTCTTTCTCTGGAGATTTTCCTATTCTGGACTTTTATGTGCCTAGAATAATATGTGGAATTTTCGTCTGGCTTTCATTGAACATCATGTTCTCAAGGTTCAAACATGTTGTGGCATGTATCACATTTTTTCATTCTGTTGTATGGATATACCACATTGTGTGCATCTATCAACTGATGCACATTTGGGCTGCTTCCATTTTGGCTATTACAAATAATGCTGCTGTGAACACTTGAGTACAAGCTTTTGGGTGGATGTGAGTTTTCATTTCTTTTGGGTACATACCTGGGAGTATAATTGCTGAGTCATAGGGTAAGTCCACCTTGAATAGTTTGAAGAACTGCCAGACCATTTTCCAAAGTAGCTGTAGCACTTTACATCACCACCCGCAGTGCGTGAAACTTCCAATTTCTTCGTATCCTTGTCAACACTTTATATTATCTGACTTTGTGATTCTAGCTATCTCCATGGGTATGAAGTAGTATCTCATTGTGGTTTTGATTTAAACTGAATGCATTTCTTTTTCCTTTTTCCTTTTTTTTTTTTTTTGAGACAGAGTCTTGCTCTGTCACTCAGGCTGGAGTGCAGTGGCACGATCTCAGCTCACTGCAACCTCTGCCTCCTAGGTTCAAGTGATTCTTATGGCTCAGCCTCCCAAATAGCTGGGATTACAGGCACCTGCCACCATGCCCAGCTAATTTTTTTATTTTTAGTAGAGTTGGGGTTTCACCATATCAGCCAGGCTGGTCTCGAACTCCTGACCTCAGATTTGCCCACCTTGGCCTCCCAAAGTGCCAGAATTACAGGCGTGAACCACTGTACCCAGCCCTAAACTTGCTTTAAGTGGTAGAAAATTCAGCATGTATGGAACCTTAGCTGTAATCTGAGAGTGTTTTACCTTCTACTCCAATGTAGAAGATCCTAATGCAGTGGCTGGGCATGGTGCCTGTAATCCCGGCAATTAGGGAGGCAGAGGCAGGAGGAGTGCCTCAAGGCCAGGAGTTTGAGACCAGCCTGCCCAACATGGCAAAGACCCCATCGGTACAAAAAAAAAATTTTTTAATGAGCCAGGGCCAGGTGCAGTGGCTTAATAGCTCATGCCTGTAATCACTATGGGAAGCTGAGGTGGGCAGATCACTTGAGGTCAGGAGTTTGAGACCAGCCTGGCCAACATGGTAAAACCTCGTCTCTACTAAAAATACAAAAATTAGCCAGGTATGGTGGCACATGCCTATAGTCACAGCTACTCGGGAGACTCAGGTAGGAGAATCTCTCAAACCCAGGAGGTGGAGGTTACCATGAGCCAAGATTGCACCATCCATCCTGGGCGACAGGGCGAGACTCCATCTCAAAAAAAGAAAAACGGAAAACATGGCCTTTGTGTCATGGAAGTTGGGAAGAACTTTCTTACTTAGTTGTCACTAAGTTTTAACTGAAAGTACAACATTCTGCTTACCTTTTAGGTTTATTAATTTTGTGAAAAACTACAAGAATTCCAACCTGACCATTTCCTTCACTGCTGAACGAAGTATTGAAGATGAACTAAATCGTGAAAGTAACAGTGATATCTTCACTGTCATAATTAGCTATGCCATCATGTTTCTATATATTTCCCTAGCCTTGGGGCACATCAAAAGCTGTCGAAGGCTTCTGGTAAGCTGGGGGTGGGTGGCGGTGTGTTTTAGAGGTTAACAGCAGTGCACAGTGTAATGTCATATTTTTGCCTCTTCATTCTTAATCCATTATGTTCAAAACTGCCTTAAATTCCTCCATGTTTTAATTGTAACATTTCTGTTTCCTACATCTGTTTTCTTCAGTTCCAACTTAGTGGTTTATCTTAAAGTTTATTTCACATAATCCAGTATTATTTGTCCAGTCTATCACCTAAGAATGCAAACTCATCACATGTGTTTCCCAGGAAGACCTAGAAAAGTTTACAAAACCTCTCCGAAACACAGAATTGTACTTTTAACTCTAGGTTTGATATAGCCTTGTAAAGTAAAATGGAGGACCTTTTAGTAATAAATGGAACAGACAGCTGTGTAACTAACTGTAACTATCTGGGTATGTCTTTGTCGCCCCTCTCAGGTGGATTCGAAGGTCTCACTAGGCATTGCAGGCATCCTGATCGTGCTGAGCTCAGTGTCTTGCTCCTTGGGTGTCTTCAGCTACATTGGGTTCCCCTTGACCCTCATTGTGATTGAAGTCATCCCGTTCCTGGTACTGGCTGTTGGAGTGGACAACATCTTCATTTTGGTGCAGGCCTACCAGGTATACTTCCATCTTCTCACGGAGCTTAGCTCTCCAAGTTTCAGGGTCTGTGAATGGCTACTGGGCTCCACATTTATGAGTGTGGACGGTGACGGCATTTTCCTTCCTTTCCCTGTGTGGCTCACTGGTCTTCTTGACTTACTCCGGACATCTTAGGACTGAGAATTTCACCCCTCTTTTTGGTTGATGAAATAGTAGATATAAAGTAAGAATTTTGTCTTAAATTGTGTCTCTAAATAGTGTCCTTTAATAGTATCTTTTCATTTTTAATAGTACCATGCGTACAAGAAGGGCTAACATACTTTTGGAAAATATTTTGGGTACGACTGCTATTAAAATGATTTTCAGCATAGTATAGAATGTTAGATTCGTTTTGCACAAAGGTGCCACTAAAAAGGCAAAAGGTTAACACATGTCCTGCAGCTGTAGAAGGTGGCTTCAGTCAGCCTGTAGACCCTATCTGAGCGGAGACTCAGTGCATGTGAGAGTGATGTTCAGGGGTCCAGTCACCTTAGTTTCTCACTGGGTACCTAGCTCTGTGGTGCAGAAATACTCTGAATTCACGAGAACATTGGAGTCCCCCACCGAAGTTTATATGCTTAGAAGACACTGCTAATCATCTGCTAATGGTTTATCTTTACCCTTGAGTTAAGGCAGCAAGAAGTGGCATTGTTATTGAGAAATTTTAATGTTGCATAATTTTCTCTCTTTTTTTTTTTTTTTTAAGAGAGATGAACGTCTTCAAGGGGAAACCCTGGATCAGCAGCTGGGCAGGGTCCTAGGAGAAGTGGCTCCCAGTATGTTCCTGTCATCCTTTTCTGAGACTGTAGCATTTTTCTTAGGTAATTATGCTTTCAATCCTACCAGCCCTGTAGTTCACTGAGCCTGGAGAAAGAAGGAGCTGGGTATCTGAACATGCCCCTTTGTTTTGCATCTTTTTTTTTTTTTCCTGAAATGGAGTCTCACTCTGTCACCCAGACTGGAGTGCAGTGATGCAATCTTGGCTCACTGCAAACTCCACCTCAAGTGATTCTCCTGCCTTTGCCTCCCAAGTAGCTGGGATTAAAGGCACACACCACTATGCCTCGCTAATTTTTCGTGTTTTTAGTAGAGATAGGGTTTCACCATGTTGTCCAGGCTGGTCTCAAATTCCTGACCTCAGGTGATCCACCTGTCTCGACCTCCTAAAGTACTGTGATTACTGTGAGCCACCAGACCCAGCCTGTGTTATCTCCTTTTTTAAGCTTTGTTCAGAGTATCACTGAAGGGACCACAGAAGAATTGGCAGCAATATCTTGGGTATCATTTTGCAAGTGGCTTCCTTCTTATTTAATTGTCAGGACAGCGTTGATGTTGGGGTTCAGGGTGAGAGTGACCTAGAGTTTGTCTTGCCACTTTCCCCTTTTGTAGTCACTGGGAATGTTGATAATTGAAAATGGCATCCTTGAGTAGCCACCGAATTCTTCTCAACATGACACTCTCTAAGCAGCAGCTCCCAAATCCACAGGCACTCACTTGCAAGATGTTTGCCATTGTTTTCAAAGGCAGCCTTTCTCTTCTGTGCACACAACTCATTGGGAAAGCAGCCTTGTTAATGAGCAGAGGTTCTTGACTCACCTCATTACAAGGAGCTAGAATAAGCTGGAACAAAGTCAGCACTTCTGTGTTTCTTTTACATACAGGAATCACCAAATAGACTCACTAGTGGGGCTGCCTGCCCCATCTCTGAAGTGTAGCAAGAGCAAAGTGACTCTGTCCACTGTAGAGGAGGCTGGACTAGAATCACTCAGTCCAGAGAAAACCATCCACAGGTCACAAACTGCAGTGCCTACTTGGCTCAGCTTAATCGGGGCCATTGTAAGTTCATCATTGGTGGTAGTTTTTCAACACAGATACACTGCGACCTTGTCATTCTTCATTTCTGCAAAACCATGTGCTTTTGAAACCTGTAGCCCTGTAGTTCCTTTTGACAAACACAGGTGCCAAAAAAAAAAACTTTCTTTTTTTCACTTCTATTATAAGAAAACCAGTGCAGGTGTGATGATAATAGCAGCAGAGACGGTGCCTCAAGGTTGGAGTGACTTTGGTGGGACAACAGAGGTGGGTAGGGATTGTGGCGCCCCAAGTGCACATGTCCCATCTAAAAAGGCTGTTACGTGTGGCCAGCCCAGTGCTACAAGGTCTGTTTTGTTGGTTTGTTTTTTTTTTTTTTTCCCCAAGCAAAGCTATGTGAATCTAGATCTTTGTGTAAAATGTCATTGCTGATATTGGCAACTTAAAACAAAAAGTTTTTTAATCGATACAGTGTGGGCTAAACAAGAACCACCTGATTCATGGGCTGCCAGTTTGCAGTTTCCAAGTCTTACCCTCATGCCTTTGATCCTCACTCGATTGTGAGTTACCTCTTACCGTAACTAAACTGGGAGGCTAACATTGCTGATGTCATAGATGGAAAATACTGTCTTTCTTACAGTGAAGCATAGAAGGTACTGTACGAAATGGCCTGTATTCGTGGTTCTCAAATTTTAATGTGCATGAATTTTCCTGTGAACCTGAGTATCGTAGAATTGGGGTTGAATTCCTGTCATACTTGCTTAAGTAGGATGGGGCTCCTCCGATGGTCTGCTGCTGAGTGCGTTTTGAAAAGCACCAGTTTATCACCTCCTGTCCTAGTTCTGGAATAATGCCCAGCAGTAGCATGCCTTCTCATGGATTTGGCCTGTGCTGGCTCCTTGTATCTGTATGTGCACATGAATGTAAGATTTGCAGAGAGCCCCCCTGCTATAAACAGAAGTGACACAGAGCCCCTCTCTCCCTCACAGGAGCACTGTCCGTGATGCCAGCTGTACACACATTCTCTCTGTTTGCGGGATTGGCAGTCTTCATTGACTTTCTTCTGCAGATTACCTGTTTCGTGAGTCTCTTGGGATTAGACATTAAACGTCAAGAGGTAAATTGGTGCCAGGATTATAGACTATTTAATTTGAGTTTAGAATCTAGAGGAAGCAGACAGAGGGTATAACCTTTGTCCCCTGTGTCTCCTCAGAAAAATCGGCTAGACATCTTTTGCTGCATCAAAGGTGTTGAAGATGGAACAAGTGTCCAGGCCTCAGAGAGCTGTTTGTTTCGCTTCTTCAAAAACTCCTATGCTCCACTTCTGCTAAAGGACTGGATGAGACCAATTGTGGTATGCCCTTATCTGTGGTTTTTCTCTTTCCTTTCACCAAAACAGGTTATCAAATGCCTTCTAAGAAGTCAGACAGCCTGGGAAGGAGATTCTTACAGCCATTAAATATATCTTTTAAAAAATGCAAAAGCAAATAGATACCAGTAGATAAAATATTTTTCCTGTGAGCTTTTGTCAGTCCATATAATAAGAGTTTTCTTTAAGTTTTTATTTTGAAATAGTTTCAGATTCACGGAAAACTGCCAATAAACTTTATTTTTCCTTTTTTACTGATGAGGAAATAGAAGCTAAGAGAGGTTAAGTGGTTTGTACCAAGTCACTAAGTGCATAAGAGACAGAGTCAGAATTTGCACTCAGGAGCTTGGACTCTGCATGCTGTGGTCTCACCCACTGCCCTCCACTCCCTGTGATCTTAGCCTGTCATTTAAACTTTTCCATTTCAAAAAATTGTGCTTTTTGTTTGTGCTTAAGATTTTATGTCTGGTCATAAGCTTATTACACTAAGCAGTCTCTGTCTTATGATTCATTTCTTGTTCCAGGTAGCAGTATTTGTGGGTGTTCTGTCATTCAGCATTGCAGTCCTGAACAAAGTAGATATTGGATTGGATCAGTCTCTTTCAATGCCAGATGTAAGATGCCTTCCTTTTGATCTTAACTTCTTTATTTGATGATGAATACATTTTCAAAACATGCATGCGGGTGTTTCAAGCAAGTGCCTGCTTCCAACTTCAAATGGTGACAGGGTTTCCAGGGTGAGAACTGCCCCAATGCACTGCCAGTGTGCGCTGCTTGGCATTCTGAACTGAGCCCCTCTGGGCACAGCTGCAGAACAGGAGCAACCAGTCTTATGAGGTTACCTGATAAGGTGCTCTCCTGATTGTGGGGCTAGCAGGAGGAGCACCCTGGAGCACTGCAGGGAAGACTGGTGGTGTCAGGAATTGTGAATCTGACTGGAGGCATCTCAGCCAGGCACCTTCTGGTGTCCTTGTATTCTCAGTGCTCCTCACCTTGCTTAGTTACTATCAGAGTGTTCACACTCTCTCCTATTTTCTTTCAGGACTCCTATGTGGTGGATTATTTCAAATCCATCAGTCAGTACCTGCATGCGGGTCCGCCTGTGTACTTTGTCCTGGAGGAAGGGCACGACTACACTTCTCCAAAGGGGCAGAACATGGTGTGCGGCGGCATGGGCTGCAACAACGATTCCCTGGTGCAGCAGATATTTAACGCGGCACAGCTGGACAACTAGTCAGTACCGCCTCATCTTGTACTTCAGAAGTAGTGGAGGGGACTCTCAGCCAGGCAGTCAGCTCAGGCCTAAAATGTCTCTTGGAAAATAGGCTTTCTTGGAAAACTTTGTTTTTATGCACAATGTCTGGTAAATCTGGCTTTACCTTAACAAAACCTTTGAAAGGACTAATTCACCACCTAATCTTGGAAAGTTTTTTTCATTAAGTGCTCATGTAGTTTTTCTTTTGACCGTTAGCAGTATAAAATGTAGACTAGGAAGTTAGGTTTTAAGAAAAAGTACTGAAACTAAAGACTTCCTCCCTGTGGAGGAGGTCAGTAACCCTGTCTCTCCTCTGTAGTACCCGAATAGGCTTCGCCCCCTCATCCTGGATTGACGATTATTTCGACTGGGTGAAGCCGCAGTCATCTTGCTGTCGAGTGGACAATATCACTGACCAGTTCTGCAATGCTTCAGGTACCTTCATCTCCTTTACCAAATCTTTCCCCTTTTTTCTGAAAAGTTTTCAAATTGTCATTTATAAATCATTTGTATCGTGCCTCAGTTTATAGCTATTTGTACATCAAAGCTGGGTCTCCCTCCCTCCCTGTGTCATTATTCCTTTCCTCAGTCATTCATTGTGAAATTGTCATGTTGTTCCTGTCTCAGACAACCACCCTTGGGGCTGCAGGCTGAACAAGGTCCACTTCTTGGGTGTGTGGTTTCCAGATAAGGTTTCTCATCCTGTCCAGGCTCCAGTGATTGCTTCTCAGGATTGGTATCCGGCCTTAGCTTCTCAGAGGAGAGCTTTTTTTTTTTTTTTAAATCACTTTGCCCTATGGTTTTGTAGGAGCGTTGAGGTTCCCCTGGAATTAATAAAAACGTGGAATCCCTAGGCTCTTGTAATACCAGTCAAGGCTGCCCTTGAAGGAGGAGATCTACTTCAAGGAAGAAAATATTGCATACTATGCCTAAGATGAAAATGGTATTTCAAATTCATTAAACTGTGAAAGTCACATGTGGCTGAAGCTTTTAGATAAGGGGAAAGATTTCCCTCACTGTCAGTATTTTTAAATGTTTTACCAAAAATCTGGAGACCCATTCTTCTAACAGTCGTGTTTTCCCTGCATGTCTCCGCTAGTGGTCGACCCTGCCTGCATCCGCTGCAGGCCTCTGACTGCAGAGGGCAAACAGCGGCCTCAGGGTAGAGACTTCATGAAATTCCTGCCCATGTTCCTTTCGGATAATCCTAACCCCAAGTGTGGCAAAGGGTAAGTGCTGCTGCCATTGCAGACAAGCATCCACTTCAATTTGCAATAGAAAACTAGGAGAGGACCAGGCTAAAACAGTTACATGGGAACATCCTCTTCTCTGCCCCACCGTGTCCTGGTTCTTTGGTGGAAGTAGGGAGACTGAAAACACCTTTTTAAGAAAAATGCCTCACAGTGCTCAGCTGATTCTGTTTTAGCGTGGCCATTCACTTCTCATGCTCCGTCTGTGTCCTGGCCCCCTGGGCATGAGAATGAATGCAGATTTCTGTGCACATTCCAAGCAGGGCTGAGGGACAGGATGGCCTGCTGTAATCCAGGCCTGAAGGAACTCGGTCTGTTCAGTTGTGCTGATGGCAGCTGGGGCGACATCTTTGTTTTGGTAATGTTATCCCACGTTAAGGTTTCGATTCTTACAGCCCATCATGCTCCTTACAGCCCATCCATATATGGGGTTATGTATATTATATATATATATTATATATAATATATATCCCCCATCCAGCCAGGCAGCCAGTTACCCACGGAAGCCGGACATATGGCCCAAAAATAGTGACCATGACCGGAAGTCTCTGGGGTTGATTTGGAAGCTTTTGGAGGCAGAGAATGAGTATCCCCGTGTATGTTAGGTAACATTTTTTGTAAGAACACACGTCTGAACAGTCATATCAGTGAATCATTTATATCATGTATGTGCTTTGAGACCTAGGTATCATGGGATGACTACCCCTAAAAGTAAAGTAGAAATGAATCTTGCAGCTTGATTTACCCACTGACCGGATGCTTTGGCCTACATAAAGTAAATTGAGGTAGATTCAGTTTTTCTGAAGGCCGTAGCCACTGTTCCTGGGGAGCCTCCGGGGTGCCAGTGTCATGCCAGGCACTCCCTGAAATTATTCCATTTATCATCACACAGCCTATGAGTAGGTGGTGGTATACCCATTTACAGAAGAGGAGACCAGGACTCAGAGGAGGTCATTTTGCCAAGGGTTACATGACCAGCAAATGGCAGGGCTGAGACTGTTCCCTGGGCCCTTGCCCTTTCCTGCCTCCTGTTACATAACAGGACTGAATAAACTTCTGTACACATGAAACCAAGTAGAGAAACAGCAGCTATGTACCAGAGAACCTAGAACAATCAAGGAAAGCCATTCTGGCTAGGCATGGTAGCTCATACCTGTAATCCCAGCACTTTGGGAGGCCAAGGCATGTGGATCACCTGAGGTCAGGAGTTGAAGACGACCAGCCTGGCCAACATGGCAAAACCCTGTCTCTACTAAAAAAATTAAAAGTTAGTTAGGCATGGTGGCAGGCATCTGTAATACTCGGGAGGCTGAGGCAGGAAGAATTGCTTGAACCCGGGAGGTGGAGGTTGCAGTGAATCAAGATCATGACATTGTATTCCAGCCTGGGTGACAGATAAAATGAGGGGCTTTTTATCTGTCTCAAAAAAAAAAAAAAAAAAAAAAAAAAAAGTCATTCTGGGAGAGAATAAGCTAAACCTTTAGTGTTCCCTTATCCTGGGGGCCTTGTACAGCTGGGTCTGACCTCTGAGCCCAGGATCAGGTGGTTTTGCTTAGCCTTGAGTGCTCAGATTCTGCTGGTATTTTGCAAGGCCTGGACTCTCTGACACCCATGATTCTTTCCTCAGAGGACATGCTGCCTATAGTTCTGCAGTTAACATCCTCAGCAATGGCACCGGGGTTGGAGCCACATACTTCATGACCTACCACACTGTGCTGCAGACCTCTGCTGACTTTATTGACGCTCTGAAGAAAGCACGACTTATAGCCAGTAACATCACTGAAACCATGGGCATTAACGGCAGTGCTTACCGGGTGTTTCCCTACAGGTAAAGCCTACACTTTTTCGTTGGGGTTTGCCCAGGATAGGGCCTATGCTGGCCGGAGCCTCTGGGGAAGGGTTCCCTTGGCAAGATACTGATTTTCAGGTTGGGTTTTGGCCCCTGCTCCATTCTGAGCACAGAAGAATATATTGAAGGAAATGGGTGCTGGGCAAGGGGGCTCAGAATCTAAAGCCTCTACCAAGGCCTGAGGGCTAGAGACACAGAACTTGATCTCTGCGCTGCTGCACACTGGGAAAGGGCTCAAGGCAGGGGGCGCTTGGAGAACAGGTAGCTCAGAGCTGGGCCAGGCCCGTATTCTTGGCCAGCAACGGACCACAATCCCCAGCTGCTGGTTATTTGGGATGATGCCTGTATATAGACTTTTTATATTGTTAGGGTTTTTTTTTCCCCCAGCAAGAAAAGCATTATGCATGAAATGAAATACTGAATTTGGAAACTGTAGAAAGGTAGGAGGCACAAGTGATCTGTTTTTCCTGCCTGCCCATGATCTTGCTTAAAGCAAGAAGGCCTGGATTTGTTTGGAAGAAGTTCTCAGAGCTGGTATCTTACCTAATTCCTGGGAAGAGCTGGTTAGCTCTGCCAAAAATTACATGAAAGCGTTTTTTACCACAGGCCTTACACAGACCCTCTGAGCCTGAGGTAGTGTCTCAGGATAGATCAGGATTCATTTATTTTTTTCAAAATGCTGTGGAATGCTCTCTATAAATGTCTATAAAATAGCATAGATCTGATTGCAACAGCACATTGAAAAGCTTATCCATCACAATCCAAGTAGGCATCATTCCAGAGATGCAAGGCTGGTTTCAACATACCCAGGTATATAAACGTAATCCACCACATAAACAGAACCAAAGACAAAAACCACATGATTATCTCAAAAGATGCAGAGAGGGCCTTCAACAAAATTCAACAGCCCTTTATGCTAAACACTCTCAATAAACTAGGTATCGAAGGAATGTATCTTAAAACAATAAAAGCTATTTATGACAAACATACAGCCAATATCATACTGAATGGGCAAAAACTGGAAGCATTCCCTTTGGAATCCAGCACTAGACAAGGATGCCCTCTCTCACCACTGCTATTCAATATAGTACTGGAAGTTCTAGCCAGAGCAATTAGGCAAGAAAAAAAAATAAAGGATATTCAGCTAGGAAAAGAGGAAGCCAAATTGTCTCTATTTGCAGATGACATGATTGTATATTTAGAAGATCCTATCATCTCAGCCCAAAAATCTCCTTAAACTGATAAGCAACTTCAGCAAAGTCTCAGGATACAAAATCAATGTGCAGAAATCAAAAGCATTTCTATACACCAATAACAGACTAACAGAGAGTGAAATCATGAGCAAACTCCCATTCACAATTGCTACAAAGAGAATAAAATACCTAGGAATACAACTAATAAAGGATGTAAAGGACCTTTTCAAGGAGAACTACAAACCACTGCTCAAGAAAATAACGGAGGACACAAACAGATGGAGAAACATTCCATGCTCATGGTTAGGAAGAATCAGTATCATGAAAATAATTTATAGATTCAATGCTATCCCCATCAAGCTACCAATGACCTTCTTCAGAGAACTGGAAAAAACCACCTTAAACTTCATATGGAACCAAAAGAGAGCCCTCATAGCCAAGACAATCCTAAACAAAAAGAACAAAGCCAGAGGCATCACACTACCTGATTTCAAACTATACTACAAAGCTACAGTAATCAAAACAGCATGGTACTGGTATCAAAACAGAGATACAGACCAATGGAACAGAACAGAGGCCCTGGCAACACCACACATCTACAACCATCTGATCTTTGACAAACCTGACAAAAACAAGCAATGGGGAAAGGATTCCCTGTTTAATAAATTGTGTTGGGAAAACTGGCTAGCCATGTGCAGAAAGCAGAAACTGGACCCCTTCCTGACACCTTACACTAAAATTAACTGCAGATGGATTAAAGACTTAAGACCTAACACCATAAAAACCCTACCTAGGCAAAACCATTCAGGACATAGGCATAGGCAAGGACTTCTTGAGTAAAACACCAAAAGCATTGGCAACAAAAGCCAAAATAGACAAATGGGACCTAATTAAACCCAGAGCTTCCGCACAGCAAAAGAAACAATCATTAGAGTGAACCGGCAACCAATAGAATGGGAAAAAATTTTTGCAATCTACTCATCTGACAAAGGGCTAATGTCCACAATATACAAAGAACTAAAACAGATTTACAAGAAAAAAATAAACCCATCCAAAAGTGGGTGAAGGATATGAACAGACACTTTTCAAAAGAAGACATATATGAGGCCAACAAAAAAAAAGCTCATCATCACTGATCATTAGAGAAATGCAAATCAAAACCACATTGAGATACCACCTCACGCCAATTAGAATGGCAATCATTAAAAAATCTGGAGACAACATGCTGGAGAGGATGTGGAGAGGATAGGAACACTTTTACACTGTTGGTAGGAGTGTAAACTAGTTCAACCATTGTGGAAGACAGTGTGGCCCTTCCTCAAGGACCTAGAAATAGAAATTCTATTTGACCCAGCAATCCCATTACTGGGTATATACCCAAAGGATTATAAATCATTCTATTTTAAAGACACATGCACACGTATGTTCATAGCGGCACTGTTTACAACAGCAGAAACCTGGAACCAACCCAAATGCCCATTGACAATAGACTGGACAAGGAAAATGTGGCACATATACACCATGGAATACTGTGCAGCCATAAAAAATGAAGAGTTTGTGTCCTTTGTAGGGACATGGATGAATCTGGAAACCATAATTCTCATACTGACACAAGAACAGAAAAACACCACATGTTCTCACTCATAGGCGGGTGATGAACAATGAGACACAGGGAGGGGAGCGTCACACCCTGGGGTCTATTGGTGGGGTGCCAACGGAGGGACAGCAGGGGTGTGGGGAGGTCGAGGAGGGATAACATGGGGAGAAATGCCAGATGTAGGTGACGGGGGGATGGAGGCAGCAAACCACATTGCCATGTGTGTACCTATGCAACATTCCTGCATGATCTGCACATGTAGCCCAGAACCTAAAGTACGATTAAAAAAAAAATAGCATAGATTGGGCTTATAACAAAAACTTTATCAAAAATACACATTTTGCATCACTACTGGGTCCTTCTATGGGTGGTCAGTGGCCATCAGAAGTCAAGTGAGTGGCTTTAGATGAGTCTTGTAGACAGCCAGCAAGGTTGTCTGCAAGGGTTGTTTCCCAAAGGAGTCTGACTGCTTGGCAGTGGTGATGGGATGAACACGCAGTTTCTGGGAGTGAGAGTGAGCTTTAACGGGGCCTCCCCTCTCCTCTCCAGTGTGTTTTATGTCTTCTACGAACAGTACCTGACCATCATTGACGATACTGTCTTCAACCTCGGTGCGTCCCTGGGCGCCATATTTCTGGTAACCATGGTCCTCCTGGGCTGCGAGCTGTGGTCGGCTGTCATCATGTGCACCACCATCGCCATGGTCTTGGTCAACATGTTTGGAGTTATGTGGCTCTGGGGCATCAGTCTGAATGCTGTGTCCTTGGTCAACCTGGTGATGGTGAGTCCTCGTCCATTCTCAGTTTGTCCATAGCTCCTGTTTTACTAGGGGAATTGCTGTCTTAGATTCCATGTAAACCATAAAATGGAGTAAGATAACCAAGTCTGGCGCTTGCTCTTGGCACACACGGAGAGGCAGGATGAATGCTGGATAGAGGTCGGACAGGGCTTAGACGGAGCGAGCATGGAGTGGGACATCTGGGAGCAGAGGCACATTACAGGGACTTTCTCTAGTTCAGTTTTTTTCTCTTGTCCCATTCTTTGCAGCTGTGCTAGCATACCTGATGGAATACCACGAAATACCTGCCTCTAACCATGGAAATGTAATTTCCTGGCCTAGCTCTGGGGTATTGTGCCTGTAATTTGTTATTCTGACGAGATTGCACAAGCACGTAGTCTATGACAGCAGGGTGTTCTTTTTACTTAGAAAATTGCACCCCACCCCAGGACGTCTCTGACCCAGTGCGTTTTGCCTCCTGTGAGGTTGCCAGGTGCTTTTAATCATTAAAGATGAGAGCATTCAAGAAGGTATTCATGGAAAATAGAACAGTGCATCTGTACTCTCAGATATGAACCTGCTTCAGATAGGGGAGCAGTGAGGTCCAAGAAAAGATGTGACAGTTTTCCGGCTCGGTGCGAGCAGGGAGACCTTAAGGGGTTCCAGCAGTTTCTCCTGATCAAAGCAAATGTGCCACAGAAAACCAGGCCTTTGGCTTTGCGTAGAGAGGGCCCCAAAGTTCCTGGTATATAGATTGGTGTGATGGAGGCCTTGTATTATAAGTCCAGTGGGATGCTTGACCTCCTCTAGCACCCAGGGTGCTCTGGTAATTAGCCCCCATCCTGGGAACGGGGTGGCTCCTTAGGGTCTTTAACAGGAAGACAGCCATCCTAAAGGAGGTGCTTTATTTCAGAGCTGTGGCATCTCCGTGGAGTTTTGCAGCCACATAACCAGAGCGTTCACGGTGAGCACGAAGGGCAGCCGTGTGGACCGCGCAGAAGAGGCACTCGCCCACATGGGCAGCTCCGTGAGTACCCTGATCTAGCCCATGTGGGCAGAGTCGCACCATCAAGTGTCCCACTTAGTGACTGGATCCTGTACTTAGAAAGCAGCTCCTAAGGATTGTAAGCTTTCAGGCAGTTCATGAATTAGCTGCCACATCGTGGACAGAATGGATCCACATCGTGGAACTGTACCTGTTGGTGCCGCTCCTTTTTAAGTGGCAGCTTGCTGAAGCAGGAAAATAAGAAAAATTAAATGTGAGACAGCTGGCAGTCTTTTCCATTCAAAATACAGGCAGGGAAGCCCCGGCCAGGAACCCAGTGTGTGATGTGTGGCTGGTGCCTAGAGAGCCATCTTGGTTCAACTCTACACCCTGGCTTAGCCTGTCTCTTTACCACTGTAGAAAATACCTGGTAAAGAGTAAAAACTAAAACTTTGTTTTGAATACTTTTAAATATTTTTCACCTGAGAATATAAAGATATTTGATTTAGAGACACGATGCAGTGTCTATGCAGAATACAAAGGAGCAAATAAAACAGTATTAGGTAGTAGATGCTACCTGGGTTTGTTCCCATTGCTTTGAACCTTGAATATTAAGAAATCCCCATAAGGGCTGGGCACAGTGGCTCATGCCTGTAATCCTAGCACTTTGGGAGGCCAAGGTGGGCAGATCACTTGAGGCCAGGAGTTCGAGACCAGCTGAGCCAACACGGTGAAACCCCATCTCTACTAAAAACACAAAAATTAGCCAGGTGTGGTGGCACACGTCTATAATCCCAGCTACGTGGGAGGCTGGGGCAGGAGAATCACTTGGACCCAGGAGAAATCCGTTTAAGGAAGTGTTCCATTACAGGTTGCTAAAAGTGGTTTCTAACACAGTATCTCTTCTTTTAGGTATTCAGTGGAATCACACTTACAAAATTTGGAGGGATTGTGGTGTTGGCTTTTGCCAAATCTCAAATTTTCCAGATATTCTACTTCAGGATGTACTTGGCTATGGTGTTACTGGGAGCCACACACGGATTAATATTTCTCCCTGTCTTACTCAGTTACATAGGTAAGAGTTCTTGTCTTCAAAGTGGGGCACAAGAGTAGCATGTTACTGAAAGGGAATTCTGTCCTGAGGCATTCTTTTCAAGTATTTGAACTCATATTAATGGTCATTTGATAAATGATACAGAGTAAAAAAATTTCCTCTAAGAAAAAACCCATCCAGGGGCTTCATGATGGTGCAGAGTACTTCATTAGTAAGTTGCTGATGTTTTTTCTGGAGGCCTGAAACGTCTGCTTCAGAGGCCTGCAGTCGGCTTTTGAATGCATCTGAGTGTCAGCAGGTGGGGCAGCTCCTCTCTGCTGAGATGAAGAAGTCCATCTGGCACTCAGCTCTCACACCAGCAATGCTGTCACTCATTGACTATCCTTGATCCGTTTATTTCTATGGCCACTTCATCTTGCACAAAAATGACCCATGTTTGAAAGAACAGTCCTGATTTGCTTGATTTATAGCTCTGTAACTAAATTGAGGCATTGAAGTAGATTAAGAAGATGAGGGCTTTTTATCATCTCCAGGGGATAGAAACTAGTTCTGTTACAATCTAATATACTAGCTCCTTTTCTTAAAAAAAAAAGAGATTGCACTTTGGGAGGCTGAGGCAGGAGAATGGTTTGAGATCAGCCTAGGCAACATAGCAAGGCCTCTATCTCTACAGAATAAAATTAGACAGGTGAGTGGTGTGCACATCTGCAGTCCCACCTACTTGGTAGGCTGACGCAGGAAGCTTGCTTGAGCCCAGAAGAATGGGCTCAGGATGCAGTGAGTCGTGTTTACACCACTGCACTCCACCCTGAGCAAGAAAGCAAAGAGCCCATCTCTAAGAGAGAGAGAGGTCTCACCCTCTTGACCAGGCTGGTCTCAAGCAATTCTCCTGCCTCAGTCTCCCAAAGTGTTAGGATTACAGACATGAGTCACTATGCCCAGCCAACTAGCTCCCTTTCTCCTGCAGAAATAAAAACTTTTTTTCTCTCATAGGGCCATCAGTAAATAAAGCCAAAAGTCATGCCACTGAAGAGCGATTCAAAGGAACAGAGCGCGAACGGCTTCTAAACTTCTAGCCCTCTCACAGGGCATGCAGACTGAACTGTATCTAAGGGTTGGTCGGTGTACCACTGGACGGGCGCTGCATCGGTAAGGCCAAGTTGAACATGGGATGGCACCAATCACCAGGCTATTTAGCAGCAGCTTTGAACATAGCGCCTGTGAACTCAGGAATACACAGTTGACATGGAAAGCAGTATTACTAAATCATCTGGAGGCAACCACAGGACACTAAACTTCTCCCCGCTTCTTCAAGAAAGAAACCTCATTCTTTAGCAAGCAGGAGGTGACACTAGATGGCTGTGAATGTGATCTGCTCACTGACACTTTGTAAAGGCCAATCAATGCACTGTCTCTCCTTTTAGGAGCAAGCCATCCCACAAGTTCTATACCACATTTTCAGCGAACTTTGAGGTTGTAGATACACTTTATTATAACATTTTATAGTTTAAAGAGCTTTATTAATGCAATAAATTAACTTTGTACACATTTTTATATATCTAAAAAAAAAAAAAACCAAGTGATTTCAGAATGTTGTAGGCCTCATTAGAGCTTGGTCTCCAAAAATCTGTTTGAAAAAAGCAACATGTTCTTCACAGTGTTCCCCTAAAAAGGAAGAGATTTAATCGCCAGTTAGATGTGGCACGAAACAAGGGAAAAATAAAGTAGGTGTGTCTACTGGGTTTTAACTTATTTTTCTTTAATAAAATACATTCGTTTCCTAAGCTTTTTGGTTGCCCTTTCTATCTGCTTTGAGAGGGAAGTAGAAAAGCTGAAGGAAGAGATTCTGACCTGTCCTTATGGTAACTAAATGCCATCTTACCTTAAGCTAGGAAAAGTTGGTGAGACCTAAAATAGTCTCATTAGAGTCCTGATCCTTCCCTATCCTGAAGAAGATGATGTCTTAGAGTTTATAACTATTTGGAGATGAGAATGATCAGCCAATGTGTCCTTCATAAAACTGAAGCCTTAATAAGCCCCAGGCCCTTTAAAACCCTTGGCCACCATTTGCCATCTTATTCCTGGCTTCAAGATATTCCAAGATCTGCTATAAGAGATGGGCTGTGCCTGATCTGGGTCCTAAATGTGTCGGCTCAAAACATGCCTCCTCGGTGAGTTCCAGAGTATAATTCAGATTCCGTCAGCATACTGAACTCACACTGATACAAATAACGGGCTGAGGGCTAGGTGGGCTGTTACAAAATTGTGCTGTTTACAGAAAAGCTAACCCAGGAGTTCTCACCCACCCCCAGTGCCCTCTGCTACTCTTTGAGGCTACAGTTGGTTACCTGAAGTCTTTCCATTGCTACGGTATTCTCACCTGGTGTGAAACTGGGGCTCCCTCGTAAACGCTGGTTTCGCTGTTCAAAAAAGCGGAATATTGTATAGAAAAGCATGTTGTCTTCAGTCTGCTTTGCAGCATCTAAAAATTTTCGTGCAGAAATGTTGTCATGGCCACCGATGCCCCGGATAAACCTTAAGGCAGCCAACACTTGGTGTTTGGAAAGAAGAACTTCTACTATTTCATCATTTGCTGTTGAAAGTCGCTAGAAATAAGGGAGAGAAGTCCAGGTCAGTGCAAACAGCAACAGAGCAAGTTTCCATAGTCCAAACCTGACACATCAGTTACCTTCAGCATGTCCAGAGAGAGCTGATGAGCAGGAGGATAGAAACTCTCTAGGGATAACAGCAGACAAGCCTGAAAGACATTTTCAGACCCGCTTCAGTTGGAGGGTTAAAGGTTAAAATTTTCCGTTTTTAACCACAACAGAAGTAAAAATCTGGCAATGCATACCAAAGGTTTGGAGTCACTGAGGACGTGGTACTGCAGGAACTGGTGCAGCATATAAAAGAGGTTGTGCTGGACAAGTGTTTTGATAACAAGTTCATGTAGGTAATGCTGAGGAAAAAAGTACAAAGTACACTTCCAAATCATTCAGCTACAACAGACTAGGGGCTCCCCGAGGACTGTGGCTATTCTAACCCACACAGTAAAAGTCTGTTACTACCAGAAATGGTTTCATCAAGCAAATAAAGACCCCGACTGGACATTACACTTCCCATTCCAACTAATGTCAGGAGAGTCACTCAACATTCCGAGTCAGGGAGGCAGGCCTGTCTTAGCATATAAGAATCATCTTCTAAGTTGAAATCGTGACAATGCTTTTTTTTTTTTTTCCTAAATTCCTGCTGCTTTAACTTGGGACCAGCTGATTTGAAGGTACCTGTACTGCAATCTGAAACTGGTTAAGAGAACGAATGTATTCCATCAGCACAGCTATCACAAATTTGTGAGGCATCTCCTAGGGAGAAAAAAATGTGGTTTTATAAATAGCAAGAGGTGCAAACGGGGCTGCATGTAACTGTCTATCCAACCCCCGCCTTGTTTCCACATTAAAATGGCCCCGTGCTAATCTTTTACTGGTGTTGCACAAATCGCTCCAGAACCACCCCATCAACGATTATGCTTTAGGCCTGAGTATTAGAAGCCAAGCTACCAGCTCTAGGTCCTCACCCAAGGAAACCAGTGATTCTAATCACATGAAGTCTCCTCGTTCCTCAACTTCCTTGTTTTGAGCATTCTCAGTCCAGAACAGGCGGAAAGCTGCAGCCCACCTTCTTTTCCACGAAGGCTGACAGCACATGGGTGTACACATCAGACTGGTCCAGCACCGCCTGGGTCCGCACCGGCCTCTTGAGGAGTGGGCTGCTTCGGCTCTGCCCTGCTTCCATCGCCTGAAAGAAGAAACCACAAACTGATCTTCAGCATCTTAGAGGAAGGATGCTGTTTACAGTTCAACCACAAGGACTGAATTCTTGTGGACCTAGGATATGAGCAGAAGACTTCTTTCTCTACTTAGATAAAACCAGTTTTCCTATGCTGGCTGGGGAGAGTCTAGGAAGTCAGAATTGGTCATCTTGAAAATACTCCAATCTTCATGGTAGATGAAACTGAAAAGAGTTTTCTCTTAAAATATATCTTACTTTAACCTCTTGCAATTTTTTAACTTAATCCTGGACTATGGGCATTTGTTATCTGGCAAAAATGAAATGGCCTGCTGCATCCCTGCTTTATGAAGTCCTGATCCTGCAATAAATGAGTAGCTCCTGCATGGAGTATCCAGGGATTTTTAAGTGGGAAGCCAGAGCACCCCAAGTCCTTCTGAATAGGAAAGTTTGGTGAGACCTTAACGACCTTACCTCACGTTTTCAAGTAGTTAAGATCCATGCAGATTGTGCAATAGCTGTGGCGTGTTGCCTGGGAACCTGCATTTCCAAGAAACTCCAGGTGCTGCTCATGTGGCTGGTTACTGGCCCACACTGCTGAGTCGTGACGGTTTCTGGAGTCCAGCAGACACAGTGTGGGACAGCACAGAAACTGCCACTTGGGATCAGACCTGCTGATTCCCACAGCCCAGGACACTCACAGCAGTAGAGTCCAAAAGGACTCAGCCATCCCTCATGTCTGTCAGGGGGGGAATGGACACTATCCAGGCAACTGGCTCTCTTCAGTAGCCTGTCTCATACCTCTCACCCTTCCGTGAACAGCTAAAGCAGAGTGGAGTTCTGGGGCTTTTGCTGTTTAAAACCAGTTTCAGCCTAGGACTAATCAGATCCTTGAAGTGAAATAATTCATTCTCCTTGTCCTAAACTTTTCTTCTTTCTGGCTTCAGAAGATACGATGTACAGGTAATAACAACGGAACTTGGTAGCAATAAGCCATGGTTATTACTTTCACTACAAACATCCCTGCCAAGTGCTAACACTGAATCATCGCTATCTCAACAGGATGCTAGCTGACTGCTAGGATCAGTCTTATTTAGATCCCAAAAGGAAAGAAAGGTGTGGCAAATAGAAATTATATATCTAATTTAAATTGTTAAGTCCTAGCTCCGGCTTAACAGAAAAATACACAAAATATTGCAAAGCAGAGACTGATTTTTCTCATCCATAAAACAGGTAGACCAAGAATCTGCAGGCAAGATCAAACACAGACGGGAAAAATGAAAACGGTGAAGGCCTGAAGTGAGATGCAGCCTCCAGCTCATGGGATGCAGGGACCCTGAACTGACTACTCCCCCACTACTGCCAGCTTGCCCTATGGCAGGCAGCAAATCTCAGTAACATTATTCTAATCATAGGAAATAATTTTGCATCATAATTACTTAGAAAATACCAGGAGGGGATGGAGGAGAACCCTTCGTTATACTCCATGTAACTCACCATCGCATAACTCTGCTCCGCGTCCAAATACTTTTTATACTCATGGTTGAGTTTATCAAAAACAGTCGCTATCACGGGCAGCGATGCTCTGTCTGACTCACTTAACACTGGAAAGGCACAATGTTCACACAGATCAAACCAACTTCATGTCAGCTTCAGAATTTCCACACGTTGCTGTGATAAAAACTAATCTCAAAAGGTTACCAATGCAAAAGTGCCTTTAAAGGACACTCTGAGAAATGTAATACTTTAAAGTCCTGACACCTAGACGTCATTCATAACCCCTTTCTGGTTACAGTTAAAAAAAAAAGCTATAGCAGGCCAGGCTCAGTGGCTCACACCCCTAATCCCTCCCAGAACTGTGGGGAAGCTGAGGCAGAAGGATCACTTAAGGCTGGGAGTTTGAGACCAGCCTGGGCAACAAGGCAAGACCCCATCTCTACCAAAACAAAAAGAAAAACAACAAAACACCAACTACATGTATTGGAAGGGGATTTTTTTTTTTTTTTTCCCTGAGACAGGGTCTTGCTCTGTTGCCAGGCTGGAGGTACACTGGCATAAACAGCTCACTGCAGCTTCATCCTCCTGGACTCAAGCAGGCCTCCCTCTGCAGCTGGGGCCACAGGTGTGCACCAGCAAACTCAGCTAATTTTTTTTGCAGAGACAGTGTCTCACCATGTCGTCCAGGCTGGTCTCAAACTCCTGGGCTCAGTCAATCCTTATGTCTCAGCCTCCTAGAGTGCTGATTATAAGGAGGAACCACCATGCCTGGCCTCAGTAGGGGATTCTTAAAGACAACACATAGGCAATCAGTGACTTGAATTCTGAAAGAGGTGTGTGTGAAGGCCAGGGGTGGTGGCCCATTCCCCTCCTGTGTGCCTACGTTTAGGTCTGCTTTGATTCAGAACCAATCTATCTATTGTTATTTTCTCATCCATATCTCTACAAGTCATCTTTCCATTTAGCAGCCTTTTCCAGGGGGTCACATAGCCACCCCTCACATAAAGAATTAGGCTCTGAGTTAGAGACAAGGCATAACAATGTAGCCTACATCCCAATAAAAAGTGTTGACAGCACAGGCCTCATACTGGAACCAGATCAAGGGGGAAGGATTCAACTTACTCTGTGAACAGACAGACAGGATGACCATCTTGCATTCCTTTCTCTGGAGGAGAAAGTCCATCAATCTTCCTTTGTCTGGCAAGAGATTTACTATGGGCTCAAGTTTCACTTGGAGGTTCCAGAGGTAACCTGGATTTTAAGAGGCAGCAAACATAACACTATGATGGAAACCATAACAAAAACGGTTCCCCTAAACATCTGTGGGGCAGGCAGGGGGTAGGCAGTGATGAAAAGCTGCAAAGTACAGTTAATGTAGCTTTTTCTTCCTAAGCAGAGCCGAGCCAAGCCATTCAGGAGCATGTCTAAAACAGAAAGACTGATGGCCAAACTACCACACACCTGGCTGACTCTTCCGAAGTAGCCTCGGCATTCAGGGGCA